GACCCCCAGAGTTAAACGAGAACCCTTCGCTACGCATTCGGGAAAAAAGAAAAACTACAAATGTTGATTGTGGTGCACGCCTCTTTTTTTGAAAGCTTCACTGCCAGTTACCCTCCCTGGGATCATCCTCGAATTGGATGGCATGTCCCCTTCAATGACCATTTTCCTCCACAAATACAGTAGGTAGTTGTTCACTTCCATTAAAGTTCCACGGAGTGTACCTCTTGACTGATCATCGACCCACGCGATTCATACTGGTAGCTTGAGAATTCCGTGGACTCTCGCAAGCGCCAAGAACCTCTCCAGGACTCACCCTGGGTGATAGTAGGTGGCTCACAACCACCAAGCTAATAGCGAATCTCCAAGGAGAACCACCCCGTCCACCCCGTCCGCTCTTCACCTCTGCTCCAAGACGCGCATCTCGGCCCTCAGTCCACGCTGCGATGGCCTCGGCCTGGAAGGCTCGCAGGGCACCAAAGCCGAAGTGCCGCAGCAAGGCCTCCGGAGGTCGCCGGAGCAAGCTGGACCCCTCGATGTGCTGAGCCCGGAGGGCCCGAAGAAGAGAAACAATTAGATACTGCCGAAACTATGTCCCAGGTTCGGGGATTCACCCAGGCCCAGGCCGACAGTGCCGGGCATCCGAAGGAGACGAACGCGACCATGTCCGGGTGAAAAAATCGGACGTCACAGCCCAAGTTCGGCAGCGAAAAACCCAGTATATAGCCGAGGAAAAAGCAACATTTACATGATCCCCGAAGGAGTCGCCCAGTTGAGTTGAAAGAAACTGGTATGCCCATCCCGATATCAGCATCTAAACATGACAATTCCAAGCGGCGGTCGTCTTCATATAACTCTGTGTCGGCGCTGGTCTGAAGTGGTTCAACTAGAGCCTGTTGCATCTAAATCAGAACTGTTTTCGATCTCATCATATCCCTTCCCCATTTGCCTCACCCTTTCCACTCGTCTCTGGAGCTGAGCAATCTGCCGTGTTCCGAACTGGAAGGAGTCTGCTCTGACTTGAACGAAGGATCGGCCCTGCAAGTATTGGTGGAACCCTTTTGGAACTAAGGAAAACTGGACGGTCGTGGGTCACCCGGGCTGGCTGAAATGGGTGACCCATGTCGTTCATATGCCGTTTGAGATGTCTTGTCGTTCTGGATCCGCGCAACTGGTCCACACATCGTGATAACAACTGACCGACCCTCTGCCTCGTGGAAAGGTACCCTACGTACGTCCAGTCTGACCCAGTAAAACCTTGTCCTTTACCTATATTCTTTAAGTATTGATGTATTGGTTTTGTATGACCGTCTCCAGCAAAATGAGGTCTTTGACTTGTAGGGCAATAAAAAACATGTACACATAATATATGGATGTCGGTTCGTTGTCGTTTTGGATGGCGTTGAGAGTGTCGTTGAGAGTGTCGTGGTAGACAGGACACCCAACTAGATGGGTCATAATCCAACGGAGCATCCAATGTCCAAGGCATAAGGCTGAACGTGGGCGTTCGAGACATCTGCAAAAAAGGCCACTGGACCATGGAAACCCATGGAGAAACCCATTAAAACACTTGCCCCCCGGGGGGTTCGGGCTCCGAACAACGCCGCCTCCCTCGCATGCCGAAGCCGCCTCCCTCGCAGCATCCAAGATCGACGCGTTCGTCTCATTCCGCATGGGACGGTCCGTCTCGGCCCGTCTCGGAGGGGCTGGGGGACTTGAGATTGGATGGCTGGGCGATGCTGTACTGGTCACATGGGGTAGCTGAAGCAGAGCTGAAGCAGGAGGGCTTGATAGGAGTGGTTGTCTGCCAACATGGAGTTCCATGCTGTCGTTTGCCGGGGCACACGGTGTGTGAATGTGTTTCTGATGACAAGTCAGCCTCTGTATCGCCGAGTAGCAATATTGCACATGCAATCTGATCGGGATGAGGCCCACATTCGTGCACATTCTTCAGTTCTTTAGGATTCTGGGCGTTCAGCTGAGTGGCCCAAAACAGATGGATCGCAATATGCTGTAGCCTTTTGATGTTGCTGCTGATTAAGCCTGTGATTCACCAGCAATGGTGCATAAGACTTGGACTTGGCATAAATGCCCTTGAAGGATTCCAAAGAACCACCAACCTAAGGGTTTGCTCTCGGCAACTCATCTACCTCCCTCAACTTGGATTCCATTTGGGTCACTGATTCACATTCGTCCTGGCAAAATGTGTCCAAGTGTGGGGAGCTTGGATCCGTTCTCTTTACATCGTTTCGATCGTCAGAGACGGCCATGTTCCTCCAACCACCCCCGTTCCCGCTCCGATCGGCTTCGGCCCTGTCGGACGGACGATCCGAACACCGCTGTTCTCTTCCGGTCCCACGGTCGTTCCTGGGGTCCCATATAGGTTGATTCTAGCCTGTTCGCCCACCAGAAACTCATGATAAGACCATGGCACCTCATGAGTTTCGGTGTTCACCTACCCACCGAAAAGCTGCAGTGCTTCCGGTCAGCGACGCACCACTGCAGCTGCATATGCCTGTGGAGGAACCTCCCTGTAGCTGTGCAGCTTTGAAACCTGTGGTTCCTCCCTGCAGCTTTGAAAACAAACCACCCGGGAAAACGAGTGACAGACCAACCCGTGGCGCTCTTCGCCGTTTTTTCGGCCGAGACCGGGTGGGTGCTTCCTCTGTCTTGCGATGCTTTTTGCGGCCCGCCCAGGCGGCCCGCGGGCGGCGTTGTCTCGCTGGCTCGCTCCTTTCGAAGAGATGCCGAACGTGAGAATCCGTCCACTTCGGTTGATTTAAGTGCTGTCTTCGAATTGAGACCAACTACCCACGAATTACAGCAAATCACTACATACCAGTAGTTGTGTCCACTGTCCACTTGATCTAGCCAAGCCACAACTCATCAGCATGACGATCTGCGTTCTTAAGTGAAATGACATCATCTCGCCCCCTTGTGCTGTTTTCGGCCACCAAGCCATGATCAAGAATGCTTCTCACATTGAAAGAAGTTGAACCCGCTCCCAGAAATTGGCACCCACCTTCCTAGATCTTAATCAATGCTCATCTTCTGGTTCCAACCCCAATCCCAGAAGGTTTGCAATGTTACACTCCTTGGAACAAACTCCTGGAAGTGGAGTGAAAACCACCTGTTTGAATTTGTTTGGTATTACGCAAATGGAGCTACCCCTACAGGGCCTACCCTTTCCATCCACGCTTCCGATGATTCCAGGGAGTGATTTTCTGAAGAGGCTGGTGCGCCGGGAGGATCTGCCTTCCGCGCCCCTTCCGCGCACGGCCCAGGGGCTGGTTTTTGCGATGAAAAAACCCTGTGAGAGCTGGTTGTTGCGATGAAAACACACATGCCTCCCTTGCAGAAAACAGCAGACGACCCCACAGACGACCACGTCGTTTGGGATTCGGGTTCCACTGGGTCGGTCTTCCGGTCAAAAACCTCAGGGTCTATGGGATCAGCTGCCAGGGGGCGATGTCAGGAAAGGGCTACTAGGAGCGTAAGGACGTTTCATCGACGAGACATGTGGCACATGCGGCACAGGGGCAAAGAAGAGCAGCCACTCGCGATCGCGAGCACATCAACAAAATTTCAATGAAACACACAGAGACGACATGGCTGTGGTCAAAACCAGGATACCTTGGTTGACTTGGGTCAAGCTACATGGTGGAGAAGGGCTCCAGGTTTTGACCCATCCCCACATAAATGTCGCTCCGATTCCGCCACACAGGCTCGAAGATTCTGGGATGGACTTCGGGAATTGACAGCCACTGGAGGAGGACCTGATTGCAAGAAGTGCACAAACTTCCAACACAGAAGACCATTCAGTGGGTGCTCTCAGTGGTAGATCTTTTTTCTCAGGGAAGCCCAAAAATCGGATCGATGAGTCACCCAACCCTGAGTCTCAAGAAGAACTGGTGTTCTTCCGTGAGTCACCCAGCGCTACAGCCAGGCCGCCCAGACCTTCACCCTAGGCCCGGTCGGCAGTGTTTCGGTGATTTTCTGTGCCTGTAAGGAACGAAAGAATAGGGGCTATGGATTCAACATAGGTGCCATCCAAACCCACTGGATCCCACTGGTAGAACAAAGCGTCCCTGGGGACCTGCAGGTTTTTGTGTCCCGCCTTTTTGGAGCCTATGGCGTTGGAAGTCTTGCACAGCAAAACACACCAAGAAAACAAGAAAAAGAATCCTGATAGCACGTCTCATCATACCCACGGCCACTCCCACCTTTAAAAGATAATGGGTAAAAATAGGAGGCTGATCTCAGGTAAGGTTAAAAGTCCAAAACACCTCAAACTACCGACCACTTACTTTGGTCTGTGTTGAACAAAACAACTTAAAACTTAGCCTCCTAATCAAACAATTAATGAATGAATGAATGAGTGAATGAATGAATCAATCGATCAATCAATTAATCAATCAATCAATCAATCAATTAATCAATCAATCAATCAATCAACATTCTTTAGCTGTCCCTCTATCAGTTTCTGACTGTTAATCATGAGCATGAACAAGGTCGGTTTCTGACTGTTTTCCAACCGAAATAGGTCGAAATACTGTTCCAGCCAAATGAAGTCAATTCATCCCAGATAATTTGTCCTTGGATTGAAGGGATTCATGGGGTTCTTGACAAGTGAACCTCCCGATGTCCAACCCGGCGCATGTCCTGAGCAAGTGAATTGGCCCATCTCAACCGCATGAGGCTCACTGCATGTCCTACGCCCTGATGAGGCTCAAGGGGTGGCTCAGCACTGACACTTCCCTCCGTTCAGGACAGAAACGGTTGACCTTCTTCCACCTGTCCATGTTGAGTGCGGAAACCCAATCCCCCTTTCAAGATCATAGCTTCTGAGGTAGACTTTGTGTCTAGCAAATTTATATTAATAAGTGTGTATATATGTATATATAGTGGATTGAGAGTAGATTGTACAATCCCCAAATTTGGTGGTTGATATGGACCCCCATCTAAAAGACATCTTGGGATGCCAGTGCCATCTACTCAAACCACTGTACTAAGATCGCCTTAATGAATGGCATGCATCGTAATTTGATGGAGACCGCTGTGACCGCTTCTTGTGCATCACTCTTCGAACATTCTGCAAGAACAAGCAGACCCTCCACACAAAAGCAGGAGCAGTTCAGAACACTGCTTCATCCAACAACACAAATCCTTGGGTGTTCTGTACAGCTAAAAGAAGTCGAGAAAACATGCCCCAGGATGGGTCTCGCTGGCTAAGCTGACGAGTTCTTTCACCGGCCTCTTTTTTGAGATGGGCGATCTCTAAACCTTCTGCCTCGCAACAAAAACGAGGAATTCCATGGACTGTACACTGCTGGAATCGAGTGGAAGAAACATGCCAAAGCGCCATTTGGCGACCGTCTTAACTATCTTAACTAACCCATCGCAGCTTGGATCGACTTAAGGAACCGTTTAAAAAATAAAAATAAATAATAAGATAACAATATATAATACATATCGATGTTCACCCAATGGAAATTAGAAAATCGCTCAATAAAACGGACATATCAAATCACCCTAAGCAAAAGGAGGACAGGAAAACCATGCTTCCCGTCTGCGTTTTCCGGTCGAGCGTGGGACGTCCCCGGATCAGACCGAGAATTGGGAGAATCGAAGCGTTTGCTGGACCAAGAAGAACGCCCCAGTTTTCGTCAGGAAAGGGGGAACGAAAACTACACTCCCGAAAACTAACATAGACTCTGACAATGGTCCCATGGAAGACTATTTCCTCTACAAACCAGGGGTTTTCAGGTTCCATGTTAGTCTTCCAGGGTGTACATCAAGTCTTTGTGTGTCCATTCCGCGCGGTGGCGTTGGCGAAAATGCCTTTCGGGCTCTGTGCCAAATCTGGCTGTCTGCGAAAGATATGTGCAGCGCACAAAAAAAGCGTTTGGGACAAAGCCGTGCTTTCTAAAAAAGAAATCGCACTGCATCATAAAAATGAAGGGTAGGAGTAGGAGGCAAACAAAGGAAAAAGCAAGCAAGCAGAAGAAGAAGTCAGTTAGAAAAAGGGGGCAGAGGACCAACAAAATAACAAATCAAAGACACCTATCACCCACCCTTGCTGGGTGATTCTTGCATCACCCTCCACTTCATCTTGAAGGTGCCTATCCCTCTCATGCTCTGAGGCACACGTGCAAGCACAGATGTTCCCAGCTTCAGGGAATCCACTCGATCCCCAGCGCCATCAACGTGGAGTTCACCGAACTCTGAGTTAAGGACAAGGAGACTTCACTCCTGCGACGGGACAGCTCTCGGTGAGGGTGGAGGAGGGTGTTTCGGTCGGTTCCCCAAACCCCCTCCCCAACAGGTGGACCATCGATAACGGAAATGAAGCGCCGGAATCAACGTTGGATCTTTGGTTGGTCATGTTGATAAAGAACATGAGACGACATACTTTAGATATCGATATATAGTTTAGTTATTAGGTTGGAGGCCATCGCTGTTCGGTTGGAGGCCATCACCATTCTTCCCACGCAGATTCCTTAGTGCGATGTATACAAGGTATCTGTCTCCATGTTCCTCCTCTCTTCGGGGGCTCTGGACGCCCACGCCGGCCGGACGGTCGCGTGGAGCGTCCTTTAAAGAGGAAAGACTGGATTCCTTATCATATCAAACCCAACCAGCATGACTGTCATACTTAACTAGCATGACTGTCATACCCAACCAGCATGACTGTCATACTTAACTAGCATGACTGTCATACCCAACCAGCATGACTGTCATACTTAACTAGCATGACTGTTATACCCAACCAGCATGACTGTTATACCCAAGGAGCATGACTGTTATACCCAACCAGCATGACTGTTATATCTAACCGGCATGACTGTTATACCCAACCAGCATGACTGTTATACCCAACGAGCATGACTGTTATACCCAACCAGCATGACTGTTATATCTAACCGGCATGACTCTTATAGCAGAAGCGCTATAGGAAAGAACTGTTGAAAAAAATAACTGGTTCGCATAAGGCAGAATTGGGCGGCCATATTTCAGTATGAACCTCTATGAACCTCGCCTTTTGAATGAAAAAGCGTGGACCTTTCGTACTATCCAGACCATCATTTCAAGGAGCGTATACCTGGATCCTCCAGGCATGAAGGATGCATGTTTGTCTATGTCTATGACCTCTGAGTCTTCAGCGAAAAATGTAGACATGTTCTTGAAAAACTGCAGGTTTTGGAGTCTATAGATAAAAAGCCCATGTAGTTGTTGCCCCGAAGACCAACATGTTTTTTGAACATCTTGAACACCTGCAGGAAAGTCGGACTCGGACTCCGTGGTTGCCTGATGAATGTCAGACATAGCTGATGATCTATATCAATGGGTTGCCTGCTACCCTTGATCTGCTACCGCTTCGTCCATCCTTCGTCCATCCCCGTTTCGGCCCTGGGCTCATCCTGTCCACGGTGGTCTCAAGGCCACGGGCCTTGCGGTCGAAGGCCAAAGCTCGACGGAAAGTTCGAAGGCCCCATGAATCACTGATTCCCTCCTGTAAAGGACCGGGGGGGGTCCTCTCCTTTTTTGGTCTCAAGGCCATCTATGCCCCATGTCATGCCCTGCCACACCCCAGGCCGTGTTTCCCATGTACCAGAGCCCCTGCCCTTTTTCGGTGGTGAATGGACACCCCGCCGGTGGCTCTGTTCGGGGCGTGTCTATGAGACACGCTCTGGTGATCCTCCCATCCTCCTCTCGGACGTGGGTGTATGGGAATCGGGAGACTGGAAGTCCCGTGGCAACGACCCCCTTGTTTCCAATAGCTTCTTGTTACTACTAGTAAGGCCCTTGCTCCTAGTAGCGATGCACTTGTTCCGTTCGTAGCGTCCTTTGTTTGCCTAGTAGCTTGAGGGTCAAATAGACTCAGTTGACCCATGGGCGCCTGAAAAACCATGAAAAACCCACCTGTCCATGGAGAGACCAACGGGCACCCGAGACCAAGCGCACCACGAGACCAACGGTGGTGGTCAAATGGAAGAAAGATCGGATGAGAAGAGACCAGCGGGCCATTGCAAAGCACCGAGTATATATACACCATGCCCCCCAAAAGGGAAACCCATGTGAATGTCTTTTAAGGCATGGAATATGTAAACGGTGTTCAACAAAGGACGTGTTGATGTTGATGCGGTTGTTTCTTTCTTTTTTCGATCAATAAGGAATTGTCGGACACTTCTCTTAATGCATTGGATCATGTCATGCTTGGTGGACATCTCCACTTTTTCCCCACACCCACGCCGCGCTCGCCCTACTCTTTGATGAACCTCGGAGTCCCTCCGCACGAACCAAGGGCCGCCCACCGAACCAGACGACGTCCGATCGGACAAACCCCGATCCGAAGGCGACCCGACGAAGCCAGGATGGTCCGGTCCAAAGAACCCTGTGAGGGTCCGGTTGGTGCATCAATTCTTTTCACCAGGCTGGTCACAGCCTGGATGGTCACAGCCTGACCTTTGCACCTGACCTTTGCACCTTTGCACTCTGTTTGCGTCTTCACCTGCCTGCCAAAAGAAGATTTGGAGTCGTTACTACTTGTGGTTGCTTCCCCGTCCAACCCTCCCAACAGCGCCCTCAAACGACCCCGACCTCCTCGACCACCGCGAGCTCCACGAGGTTGGCGGACCTCCACGACATCCGACAGAGTTCGAACGGAGACTGCTGATCATCTGTTTGGCCACGGGCTGCGTATTGGAGAAACCTCACACCTCCACCATCCGACCACCTGGACCGACCCTCCGACCATCGATTCCGAGGCGAGGCGAGAGGCGTCCTGTGGGGTCAGACACGATGGTCGGATGGTCCTAGAAGGGAACCGGTCCTCGAGAGGCGTCCGGCGGAGTGCTTGGGTGGTGCTTGGGGTTTCAGTAGATCAGATCTGTTCAGCAACCCTAGCTGAGCCGACGATCTGGCAGATCTGGGCGAGTGGAATGGATGATTCCATGAGAAAAATACGCTGCCATAGCTGTGTATTTGTGTTGGGCCTTGGTTGTTGGGCCCCAGCTGAAATGTTCTCTTCCTCCTAAGATGTCTTAGGTCCTAGGTAGAAGACTATCACAGTCCCAGTGGCCGCTGCACAAGCAATGACTTTTTAGGCAACATGGGTGGGTTCTCCGTGTTGATTTGGAACAAGAATCTCTGGATGGCGATGGCCACGCTGTTGGGTATGTGTTCGGTGTTCATGCATGTTCGGCGAGTTCCCGACTTCCATGCTGTTCGGGCTAGGTGATGTCCCTGATGTATAAATCATTCCATATCCCTATATATCCCTATGTAGGATGAGTTTGGTTTATTGTATCTTGTTAGAACGTTCAGTACCGTATGATGGTGGCTCAAAGAACACCAACGCAAATCCAACGCCCCCTCACGCGTCTCGCTCGCGCCGGAGAAAAAGGACCTGGCTGCGTCTCGCTCGCGAAAGCCACGACAAAGGCTCCTCACAAGAGCAGCGGGCACCCGCCGGTGGCGGTGGTGGTGGTGGTGGCGGCGGTGGTGGCGGGGGTGGCGGTGGCGGTGGACGACACTAGTTTGCTAGTCACGGCTGCAGATGGGGGGTGGTTTCCTCCCAATTTCGGTTCTGCGTGATCATCTCGTTGTTGAAAGACGTGGTGCCACCCACGAGCACAACACTTGCACACCGACAGAAAAACGAAATACAGGAGAACACAGCCACCGATAAAACCTGGAAGAATGGGAACCATCCGGGTGCAGAGTAGATCGCACCCTTCGACAGTCCATTACTTCATGTAGCAACATTAACAGAACACCACCTCTGAAGCCGTCGAAACCCGCCCAAACGACGTCGTCCGACCGGTCCTCCCAAAACGAAGAAGCGCAGCCTCTTCGGCGTACTTCTCAGCACAGGCCTGTGCAGGTTGACGTGAATCGCCGGTTGGAAAGGATGCATTCAACTTGGGCCCCTCGTGGGGGACGCATGAAGACTGAGGCCAGGTGTGCCCATGTACCACTTTTGGAGACGAACTCAGGCCAGGTGGCGCACGTTGGAAGGGGCAAGTTCTCATGGTTTCATCTGAACAGCAAGACTGTGCCCAACATGAAGTTGCGCTGTTTCTGCTGCCCACGCTGCCCAAGAAGGAGAAAGGGTTGCTTCCATGCTAACAAGCTGAGTCGCTGAACCTCGCGCTGCTGCGCCCCAGGCCAAACATGGAACCTCACCACGATCTTACAACCGTCTTCACGAAGGACGTGCCCAAGCCTTGCAAGAAACCAGCGGCTAAGAAGGCACTTCCCTTGACTTAATTGCCGGCTTCTTTTGTGGCTTCGTCAGCCCCGTTGGCTCAGCTCGTGGCACCATGTTTCAACCGACGAAGCATGTTCCATCTGGCTGAAAAAGAAACCACCATCCCTGGTTGCCCAAGTGGGTGTGTATTGTAATAGGGAGCCCCTAACCAATGGGTTGACTAGAACATTTTCCTCCTTCAAGGGAGTCGAACTGGGAGGTCTCCCTATTCTAATACACACCCACTGTCGTGGATCGCATTGGTGCGCTGTGTCTGCGAGCAGCCAATCGCATTTTGCAGTCAGTCGCTCTGTCACTGAGCTGTTTCTCAGTCATTCAGCCAGTGAAAGACCTGGGGCCTGGGATGACGGAAAGCGTTTCAATAATAGAACGTGGACAAGCGATGTTCCCAAAAATGGTTCTTTATCGCTGTTTAAACTCTTATGGTCTTGCAGGGTCTCAGCAAGTCACCTCTTATCGTGATGCAGGGTGTTTGACCATCCATCACCAGTTGCTTTCTACACTCTTGGTGACATGACTCACTCCTTGTTAAAATGCACACCCATGTGTGGGGGTTGAAATATAATCAAAGCATGTATATATATATATACATAGTTATGTATTAAAAAGATTTAACAAGTCTACATTGGTGTTGGAGATGCCGCTCGAACGACCAAAATCCGGCGGTGTCTTTTGAATATGATCTTTGGTCCAGATGTGGCTTTCCTTGTCAAACACACCACCTTTCATTGTTCAGGCCTTGTGGACGCAAGACGTCGCAAAGATTAATTGTCCCAAAAGGCCACCATGCTACTTTCTATCTCCTGTGAGACCTTTTTTCCTATGTGTTTCTCATCCCACCAACTGCTGGTCCAACCCCCGAGCGACTCGCTGCCTCCTCAAACGCTCGAAAGCACCAGGCGTCCTCGACGGGTGGATCATTGGTGGAAGTGATCGATGGTTGAAGCCCTTTCTCTTGGGATCATCGGTCAGGCACACATTGTTGAGGAAGTCAAGTGTCCACCGGGTATGATCCAAATTTATAAAGTTGGGTTTAAGAAGAGGAACGTCCAACGGAAGTCGACACAGTTAGAAAGACAAGGTCAAGACTTGAAAGCGTTCCGTTTCTTTTTCTTCTCAGGAATGGGTGCCTCTATTATTGCATCTTGGGGGCGGTTTGCTGGCTGAACAAACTGTGTGAGTTGACTTCACTTTTTTCAGCAGTGCGATGCCGAACTGACGTGTGAACTGACATGTGAAGGGCTTTTTCAGGGCGATGTGAAGGACCCGGTGTGGCTGAAATCTCCGATGCTCGGAGGAGCAACGTCGACTGCGGTTTTTGATGCGAAGCAGTCCAAGTCGACCGAAGCTCTCGGTTCGCACGGTCCACTCCCGAATAAAACTCTGGAATTTCAGAACGGTGACTGATTCCTAAAACCTCCCATTTGGATTGCTACAACCTCATACAACTCTGGGAATTGATCATAATTTATCGTCGTTCACCTTTTTACACCTGTTGGAGTTTCGCGGGGAAACCAATTCCCACACAAAGGTTAAAGGATGTTAAATGTTATCCACTTTTGCTGAGTATATCCCTCTTGGATTTTCGTGGGGTGGCCCTCCACCGCCCCGCAAAAGAAAAGGGATCACCTGCAGGTGATCGACTGAGCGAAGGTGGGGCGACGTATCTTGGGGTGTGTTCGGCACCTTTTCGCGTCGTCTGTGCCGAATAGTCGCCGTCCATGGACGAAAGCGCTACCTTCGGCAGCCAAATAACACTGCAGCGAGGCCAAGAGAAAGAATGGCATGAATGCATGAACCGTAGATCATATGGGTCCCCAGCAGCCTGTCTGAAATTGGCCACCACCAGAGGCACTGCTCCACGACCAAAGTCGCGACAAGTGTTACGCAAATCACGACCACAATGAAGGTGGTCACCAGAAAATCCAAAGGTCTTGTACCACAACGTTGATGGAGACATTGGGATAGCTTCATGCCGACGAAAAACAACATGGGGCCAACACCTAACCACATGGACAATCCACGTAACGCTTCGACCACCGCATTGCCGTATCCCTCCCGGCGGATCTCGGCAGAAACGAGGTCAATCGGTCCAATGATGAAGGGTACCAACGCAAGGACGCATTGTTTGTAACTCAGCATCTGCCTCCAAAGCTGATGTGTAAGAGCGTCCAGCACCTCTTGCCGAACAAGCTCTTCAAAAGCATTGACGGAACCAAACCATTTGATGATACATTTCTCAATCACCTCTCGATCGCACAAACTCTGGCCGCCAGATGGTTGATGGCCAATGTCGCAGCACCAGCATCTTACCTCCTTCAAGTTGAAGGTTCTCAAGGCCCTTTTCAAGTCGTTGATGGACTGGAAATATGAGCGGGCCATGTTCATGCTTCCCCACAGGCCCAGGCAAGTAGCGACCGCCATAAAAATTAGAAGGGCTGTCAAGTTCCTGTCTCCTTGGATTTGCTGGAACCCAAAAAAAACAAAACAACGGAAGAAAAGGGAAGTCATCCACACGGAAAAAGACATCACCCTAAGCAAAACCAGGTCTCCCATGTAGCTGATCGCGTTGAGGATGAGATTCAAAGAAAAGGTGATACCTATGAAACATGGGCCGGTGATTGTCGGTCGGATGAGAAGCTTTGTCTTTTTTCCAGCAGGCCGACTCTTTAGAAAGGCTGCAAGCTCGAAGACACACCACAAACGTCTCATGTATGTCTCATCCCACAGTACAAGCATTGCATCTGAGCGCTTGAGAAACGCACCCATGCTAAGGAGAGCCGCCATTTTGTCTGATTTGCTTTCTTGATCAATGCAAAGCACATCTAGGAAGATTGTTTTTCTTCTTTGCCATGCCAGCAAGGTGAAGTAGTAAAAAAGAATGGCACCATACGCGCTCCAGCCACTCCGTGGAAGCTCCTGAAACCAGTAGTCGTATTTATACATGACCGGCAGCACTTTGCATGCATAAAGCACACCGAGCACAAGAGCAATTGCTACAGAAACCACGGCAGCTGCCAAGGAGTTGTTCAGGAAAACCACTGTGAGGATTAGTCTCCATCTAGGGCCATGCCATGATTGGCTCCAAAACTCATCGATTCTGTCAGTGACAGTGCTCAAGTGCACCAAGTTGCCTTGACGAAAGCCCCGGAGAGGCAAAGCACAGAACGCCAGCGCACGATAGGCGGGCGCAGCTCGTAAGATATCCGATCGTGCCGGCTCCATATTGGCCATCTTCAAAGCAAGCAATTCTGGAATGTCCAAATGTGCCATGGGTTCATCTGCCTCAACTTGGTTAATCTGCTTCTTTGGATGCCGGACATAAACAGTTTTTGATAGGACAAGTATGGACAAGTCCATATTTTGGGTGGTTGGTGATCCAAAATAAAGGTCACTCAGGTTCTACGTTTATATACGAGTTACATCTAGTTACTAGTTGTTTAAAATCCCCTTTCATGTCTCTTTCAGTGCTGGGTTTTGAGGACCAAAAACCCTGGGCAAAACAAACAGTGGTGACCAACGGATGGTGACTGGGCAAACCTGTCTCTCCATCCGAGATCGGGGGTCTGGGGCACTCTCTTTGAACCCACACTGCCTCAACGGTATCCACTGCACCGATGGTCGCCGTCTCCATGTCGGCCAAAGAGCTGGGACGCTCCGCTGGAATTGTATCCTCTGCACATAGAGCAGGGCTCGCCATTGAGATGGTGAAACAAGCACTGCACCACTGTACGGTAAAAATGGAACATTCAGACAAGACTCTTTTGTTCTCCAAACCAGATCTCAATATGCTCATGATCTACTCGCAGAACTAGTCCAGTACATGTATACGATCCGCAACTTGGTTCAAATCTCCAAAGCACCAGACACAACCGAATCGCTTCTTCACGCAGACACGGAACGCGACTCTGTCTCACTGGATCTCCGTTGGGCCAGACGGGCGGCCTGCTTCACCGTCGCTCTCTCGTCGCATCGCATCGCACCGGCGACCAAGCGAGCTACGGGACGCCCATGCCCAGTTTCGTGACATGAATGTCAGTGACATGTGCTGACTGGTGCTTAGCAGGGAATGAGGGAATGGATCCAATAGAACCTCTATTGGGGCTCATTCCCTTATTCCCTACTAAGCACAAGCTAGTGTGTGAAAGGGCATAGAAAAAAGGTCCAACACGGTTCCAGATCTTCCGCAGAGTTCAATCCCTTTCCCTCTGGATTTGCGTTCCCACCTTCACATTCCCTCTCTTTCGGGTCCGACGCGTACCTTGGAAGAACGCACCCCAAAATCGAAAAGTAGCTCAATTCATGACAAACAAGAATCAAGAATCTAGTTGGACACACCCTCCCTCCAACAAACTTGAGTTCATGTAGAACGCCCTGTTTGGTCTTCCAAAAATGGTCTAAGACCAACCCAAAAAAAACACACTTTTCAACACACTTCCATGATGGAAAGGAGGGTTGTTCGGTGCCTGTTCATTTCCTCTGGTGCTCTTACCTCTGTTCGGATCCTCAGACTCTTCACCCGCCACCGGAGTGTCGTCCACCCGAGCGGACCGACGCACCACCGGCGGAATCCGTCATGGAAAGGTGCTGGCTGTTGGTGCGCCAAACAAATGGTTGGATGACTTAGGTTTGTTCATGAATGATTCCTGAATTCATGGTACCTTCCAAAAGGTCTTCGCACAAGCGAAAGGGCCATTGGAGTTCGAGTTCCGCGGTTTCTGTCCTGCATCGCCTGATGCCACTGTCTCAAAGCCATGCGAGCGATGGCATCCACCTTGACCTGGCGTCGCTTCGTGAACACGCTCTCCGACCGACCGGAGTCCGACCGGACGACCCGTGGGCGGCGCCTGGCCGAAGGAAAGGTGCGTGGCGTTGGGACGGACGCAGATCACCCGGCTCAAAACCGAGCCGATCAATTAGACACCTATCCTGGAGACACGGAGGGTTCTTTGGAGACTTGGAGGTTTCTTTGGAGACTTGGAGGGTCGGCAGGAGGTCTCAAATGATAGGCATGGCCTGGTGACGGCACCAGGGAGATCGATGGGAGTCTGCCAAGTGGTGCCATGAATTCCTGGAGTTGTACCCCTACCCAACATCAACCAAGGTGTGACTATGAGGGTGAATCATACTGGGGAACAACCTGACATCTGAAAGATTCCAACACCAAACCATACCAAACCCATACCAAACCCCCCTTGACAGAGTTGAGCCAAGAGCCTCTTTCGGGGTAGACGGTACACCATCTCCTCTCCACACACCAGTCGCCATCGTCGCCTGCTGTACCTTCGCATGCCAATGGCAGGCCACATGCCACCGCAGGGGTCCGCGCCCCACCTGCCACCAGAGGCCATTGGCAACCACCGACTCCCAATCCGTCAGGCCGTGAACCTGGAGATGTCATCCCCCCTCAGAGTCCAGTCGACGACGTCGACGAATTTGAAAACAATGGGTCTGACTGACTCGGTGACCCGAGTCTACGGATCTGCTTGATGTTGCTGGTGCTAGATATCGTCGAAGTGGACCGCTAGGAAAACCCTTCAGAAATCTTAAAATGTCGTGAACGGTCAACAGTAGAGATGTGTGGACACCAAAAGCCTCATGTTTGCTATGCCCTATCAGTCCAGTCGGACCAAGTAAAACCTGGTCCGACTGACCTCATTGAGGACTGCTTTTGCATGACCGGACCCAGTCAAATGAGGTCCTTGACCTGTAGGGACGTGTCTCCCAGACTTGGATTCCTCTAATTTGTGAGGGGGGAAACTGATAGGGCATTCGACCCATCCGTTGTATGATCAAGCTTTTTCGATCTTTTTCGACTACGGTATGGCTGAGCGTCAGAAGGAGAACAAAAGGATGTTCATCTTCCTTTCTAAGCGTCTTTGAACTCAAATAGGCAACCACATCTCCAAAGAAAGCCAATCCCATTCACTGTGGCACCTGCGACTGCCAGTGCCATGCGGCCCAAATGGTCTGAAGCATCCTGGTGGCCAAACCCTAACGCGAGAAACGACGTATCAACCACCAATAGTAACAGGCAAACCACGTGCACATGAGCCCAAGGGCTCGTTCATGTGTTCATGCACTTTGTCCAAGTGATGGTGGCAGTTCACACTCAAGGGCTCAAGCCACAAAAAGTGTTGGCAGAGTGTGAGAAACATGTTTCGTTTTAGTGAATCTGAGCCACCCAAAAAGCCGACCCAAAGACCGAGCCAATTCCTTGCATGTCTGATCAGCTACACCCGGAACCGGGCTTGGACCAGGGGCTGCCAAGAACGATGTTCCAAGAACCCGTCCACGTAACCGGGGTCGAACCGGAACCGGGAACCGGGTCTCGGACGTTCAGAGCCGAGTGCCATGGGACCAAGAGGAAAGACCCGTGTCGCGAAACGAAGACAAGGCCAGAGGTCTCCAGGGCCAGAGGTCTTAGGGCCCGGGCGATTCGGAGAGTCAAGATTCGGAGAAAACGTGCGTGAAACTCGGATCTGGTTGGTGGTTTCAACTCACTTGAAAAACTACAGACTATGAGGACCATGTGGGTGCTTCCCCAAAAACATCCAAAAACTACCAGCACCTTCAAAGGGGTCACCAATGGAAGCCCCTACACCCCCAAGGGACCTCCATTGGACACCCCTTTGAAGGTTCCATGTTATATGAGCCGGTGGAGCTCCAATCATCCCAAGTATAGGTTGAAAATACCCTTTGTGGAATTCTCCGCAGTGACGTGGATGCGTTTTCGCAGCCCCCAATGTCGGGTTCCGATGTTCAAATCCGAAATGTCCAACAGGTGGTTTTCACTCCACTCCACTCCACAAAAAAAATCCCAGGGAGTGTATATGTTGATGCTTGTTCTCCCTTGCTGGATCAATGGCAGACCGGATGACCTCGGCACCCGGATGACCTCGGTAGTGGATGACCTCGGGAGGGCACATGCCAGGGAGTGCACCACCAACCTCTCCTCTGAGGGGGGGAGTGTTTGACGGCACCAACGGCGATTGGGAGGTCTGATGTCAGAATGCCGGTAGATCCGTTCGATAGATCGTTTCTGGGGGTTTTAAGATGCTGTGTTTTCTTTCAAAACCTTGACACGATGTTGCTCCATGGGCATGAAAGTCCGGATGTGACGCAAACAAATCCACAGGATGTCAATCGCGGCGCCAGCCAGCCCACCCTCAGTTTCATCCACATCGTCGCGTCGGGGTATGTTTAAACCAAGCACCTCTCCTCATCTCTTCCAACACATCGCATTGCCTGGTGCCAGATTGAGCTGCGCTAAGCACACCTTAGAACTTGGGCCAGTGCTGATGTCCATCTGAATGCACTTGCTATCACTTCGGAGAGTGATTTACATCGGATAAATCCGACAACATCATTGTTCGTCACAAAGGCTAGCAGGTATTTGAAATGCTGGAGATATCACCAGCCTCTTCTGAGAATCTGGACACCTAGACCTAACCCACGCCAGCTTTTCTCCAAATGTTCAGATGTTCCATGCCGCTCTCTCTCTCTCTCTCTCTCTGCAACTCTAGGGCCTCAGTCGGAACTCCCTTTCTCCATCCCGGGGCAGTGCAGGCTCAGTCGCTGGTTTTTTGTGCTTTCGGGCAAAGCCGCGAGGTCCCGTGCCCCCGGTCCCGGCTCACCGGAGGGATGGAGTCTGGGACCGAAGCCTTAAGGAGAACGGCTGACCCTTCGAGTCGTTGCCTCACCAGAAGGGAAGAAAGGGATCTCCGTACCAGGTGTCCGACGGCAAAGCCACCTCGTGGCTTCTTCCGAAACCGTCGCCACGGCCTCCAGGGCCTATAGACGGGCCGAAAAGGGCCCTCTGAAGACCACGAAAACAGGATCCGACTCTCGTCTTGCCACCGACCCGACGGCCACCGACCGGACGGTTCCGTGGGTCAATGACAAATCCGACGACCCCATGCCGCGCTGGAGACTCATCTGACCCGAAAAAGAGACGCCCGGCGGGCAAACCTCTACCAGGAACCGCTGGGAACCGGGGAACGTGCGTCTTCCAATTCAATCCCACACTCCGGGTTTGGGGTGTTCGGCCGCGTCAGGAGCCCCCAAACAAATTAGACCCACGCGCGCGCGCGCGGAAACGAGCACGTGCTCCAACGCGCCGCCTGGTTCCAAAAGCTGAACCGGTGGCTTCGGTCATCATCCATGGTCATCCCGGTCATTAAGCAACTCGTTTATACCACTGAGCAACTCGTTGATTTGATCACATATATAAAAATATATAACTATGTAACCATGCATGTATATCAACACGTCCGTTACAAGTCATGCCAGTCATCCCTTCAGAGTCCTCCCCTCACCCTGCTGGAGTCCCACATCTGCCATCACCAACGAAATCCACCAACCAAGGCGCGGGAGGGATGCTCCTGACCGAGCAAGTCGCGTACGGCTGCGCACCGAACAAAGCCCCGAGACTGAACGAAACCAATGGCAGTGGGGGGGGTTCCGGGTGTTGTTGTGCTGGGTCCCCTCCAAAACACGGGAACGGACTGGACCAAGACATCAGTTGATCACCTCTGTCACCAAACCCAGTTCGGTCATGTCAAGCTTCCCGGAGCTCCGTCCGAATCAAAGAAAGCTTCACCCAAAAAGTGTGTTTTCGGATTCCTCAAGGCTCGAAGTCTGCAAAGGTGGCATGGTAGGACGGCATTGGATCCTTCTGACGCCAAGTCTGATTTCCAAACACCGCGTTGCTCTTGACGGATATCTTCATATTCACCTGTCAAGAGGGATCCGAAATGTGTCCCATGTGCATGTGCAATTTTACGGTGTTGCTTCTTGGTGACACAGTAAAACAAATGACGGTGGCATCACGGAAAAACCCTTCTCACCTGGTTCTCCCCGTTCTCCGATCTCCGATGATCCGACGATGATCCGCGAACGCCATGGAAGGATACACAGATGTACCCTCTGTCGGGTTGCCCAATGAACGCCATGGAAGGTACGAGTCGGATGCACCACTCACCCTGTAACATTTATTTTTCTCACCAGCCACCTGGGTTGGTAAAGGCTACGGCTACGAAGAATTTTAGCGAAAATAATATACATGATGTTCCCTTTCTCAGCGCTTGAATTCACCCTTCTCTGGGTCCTGAAACCCGGCTCAACATGAGTCGTTGAAAACAGAGCAAATCTTTCTGATAGAGGGACTTCAAGCCCAGCCATCTAGATTGAAAATTCTTGACCCGAACCGAAGAGAATCGGCCTTCCTCGCCTTCCTTGCCTTCGTCCAGCCCTTCAAACATGAAGCCAGAAGACCTAGGCGGTGAACGGTGGACGGTGTCCCATATGAATCTGAACGATGTAAACGGATGCATATGCCATCCAGCTAAGGAGGTTTTAGGGACTTGATCCGATGCATTCATAATTCCGATCTGATCAGTTCCAAATAACTTGGTCCCCCCAGTAGCTGCAGGCGCTCGTGCCCAGGCCCAAATGCCGCATATCTATGTGGAGTCTCTCGCAGATCTCTGTGGAGTCTCTCCGCATTCGTTGGACCTGGTTCAGCAGGGGGGATTCCCATCAATTCATATATAATAAAAAGAATGGTCTTTAGAGAGGAACTGAAAGGGAACTTTCTTTATTTCAGCCGGTCAAAATAGTCTTTGGACTTCTAGGATATATATATATATATACACCTGACGACAACCTTTGCATTTCGGCTGCGAGTCTGCAGCCCGCTCTGCAGCCCTGCGGACGTCGGGTCGGAATTCATCTCTCGTCCAGACGGACTTCCAACATTCGCTGTGGGGAGCTTGGACTTGGCGGAAGGACATCCACCAATTCATCAAAAAAAGAGTCCCCACAGGAGAGTCACCACTAGGGGGGCAAATGACAAATGTTATAAAGTCACCCTAAGCAAAAACTGTTGTTGTCTTGCTTGTGTCTTTTGACCTGTGAGGCCAGGAACAATACGGAGAAGATTAGCATGCTTGAGATGACGCGCATCAAGAATCGCACAGATCGAGAAGTGCTAGAAGAAAGCACGAAGATGACACGAACAAATCAGAAGTGTACTTTTGCGGGAGAAAAAGGTCCGATGTTTTTTGCTTTGCTGTGAGGGTTCATGGAAGATGATTCACATGAGCAGAGCGCTCATCAAATAACAGGTTATGAGCCCAAAATCCAAGCCTCCAGCTCCTCCACGCTCAGCTGGTTAGCAGGCAGATCCTGATGAAGCTGATGGCACTGGGAGTCAGTGCAGTGCTTCGACCAGCTTCGCAGGACCAAAACCTTGACGTATTTGTCTCCTTTTTTTGCGCTTTTACCAGGTCCTGGCTTAATTTGAATTTTTTTTGCTCCAGGTCTGTTCAGCGCTGCCACTTCATCCTGCATTCTTCTTGTCGACTTGGCCACCTCCAAAGCGCCTTTGAGCTCTTGCAGCTCAGCGCTGTTAAGCGATGACACTTGCTTCTCAATCTCATCGGAATTTTTGCCGCCTCCAACACGCCTTTGAGCTGCGAGAGCTCAGCGCTCTGCTGCTGCAATTGCAGCGTTCCAGGAGGCGCGAGAACGCTGGCCCCGCCACTGCCAGAACTCCTGCTCGCGCGCCCTTCTTCTTTTGCCTTAACACCGCGCACTCGGGCTATGGGAAGCTTGCCGCCAAACAATGAACGCAAAACTCCAAGAACATGCCGAGATGCAGTGAGTACCAGAGTTGAAGTCTTGTCAAGCACGGGCACTCCATACACAAGGTTGAGGCCGTTGTCAAGGGTCGCTACTGCAATCAAAGCATACTGAGCATTGCTTTCAAAGGCTCTGGGTGAGGACCTGTCAGGTCTAAGCTCAGCACAGCTGTACTCCTGCTGTCTACTGGGATGCTTCTGTGAATTCGTCTGAGAAGGAGAGCTTCTTGGCAGGCTTCACAGTCTGGACGGTGTGGGACGTGTCCACACCGAGCATGCTCATCTTTGGCTTCTGTGCTTAATGGACCAAAACACACTCGAGCTTCAGGCTCTGCACTATCCTCACTTTGGCGCGGGGTTGGCCCAAAAACAGTTGCAACTGCAAATTGCATTGCTGCTGCTTCAGTGGACGGCGGTCAAACTGACATGGGGCTTCACCACCACAACAACCCTGCACAGAGGCCTCAAAGTGCTGATGCGACCTGGGCAACTTGAACCCAGAGCCGGTCAGAGCGCCAGCGACTGTGGCGGAGAGTTTGTGTCAAATTTGTTCCGGTCAGCCATGCAGGACATTGGCGTGCTGCAGACCACATCTCAGCCTGGAGACAAAGCTCAAAACGGGCGTGCTGAGAGGTACGTTGGAATTGTGAAGCAGAAGACTGTAGCCCTCTTGCAAGAAGGACGGCTACCAGTAGCCATGTGGGCTCATGTTCTGCCACATGCGTGTTTCCTCCTCCGTCAAAGTGCTTTCGCGCGCGCCATCCCTGCCAAGCTGCCTGCTCCCGGTGATTGTGTAGTAGTTCCAGCAAAAGAACAAGCTGTACGTGAAGGAGGTGATTTTTCCCAAAAGTGAAATATGGTGTTTTCATTGGCATTGATGAAACCATACCAGAAGGTGCTGTTGTGGCCATCCGAGACCTTGTGAAGGTGTCCGGGCCAAAGAAGTGGAAGTCCGCAGACCTGAAAAGATGGCGGATGCACACGCATCCCACACTGCCAGACAAAGCGGTGTGGGTCTCAAGTTCAGGTGATGTTGTTTGGACAAGTCCGCACTCCAGTGCAATCCTGGCGTTCGAAGAAAGAAGGCCAAGCCCGCCAGGTCCAGCAGATATGGCCGAGTTTGTCCGCAAAGGCATTCCAGGCTTCTCGGCGTAGCAGTATTACAGTTTGTACATGCATTCGTACGAAGCGCCCCAAGAACTTGAAGACACCGACTCTCCAGCCAGAAGCATTGAAAGCTCTTGGTTTGAGGTAGCAGCCCACCAAGCCGATCTGATCCGTGAAGCACGTGAAGGTCCAGACGGATGGGTGAAAGTTGGCCAGGTTTTAGTTCGCAGACATTTGACACCGCGTGCCAACATGTTTGTGCCCTTCGAAGATGATTTTTGCAAGTCCCCTGCAACAAGCTTGTCTCCCAATCGTGTCACTGTGGTGTTGACAGACGCCGGCAAGAAGTCTGTAGTCCTAGACAGGTGGATTGAAGACAGTCCAAGCAGACCTCTGTTTCATGATGGCAGAAAGTGGCGTGGAGTTACTTTGTTTGGGTTGCAAAGCGTTGGCTTGCCAGATCCTCCTGCAGTAGTTTCTTCTGTGCATACTGAAGCAAAAACCCAGGGGTCTCGACAGTACTGGCTGCCAGACCCGGCTGCAGAGGCAGCCATGCACAGACTTGAAGAAGCGGCCGAAAACCTTGACAGTGATGAGCTTATCAACGTGCCCGTTGACCCTCGCGACGTGGAAAACGCCGAAGAGCCTGAGAGGTCAAAGTGGGTGGAGGGGATTGGCGAAGAACTGTCCAACCCCGAAGACATGAGTGTTTTCGACCGCATCACTCAGGAGGAGTATGCCACCAGAAAGACCAGAGACTGGAAATTGGCGAGTCCCATCCCAGCCAAACTAGTGCTGCTAAAAAACCGCAGCCTGAAGCTAGTAGTTCTGAGGATTCGTACAAACGCAAAGCTCGAATTGTTGTGTGCGGCAACATGCAGCAAGATGCACAGAAGAACATGACCAATCGTGCAGAAGTGCCGGATGCGTTCTTCACGCGTTGCATTCTAGCCATGATAGCACTCCAGACTTTCTGTTTGTCAGTGCTAGATGTAAACGCAGCACTTTTGTACGCTGATTTGCCGAGCAGCGAGCCAACAATCACAGTGTCGCCCCCGGCATTGCTGAAACGTTTAGACTTTGCCGCCTCAGATGAACTCTGGGTCCTGAAAAAGGCTTTGTACGGCTTGAGAGTGTAGCCAAAGTGTTGGACAAAGACACGCAATGAAACGTTCCGTGGTGTCGCAGTTCAACTCCCTGATGGCCAGTCTTGTGTGTTTCAGCCTGCAGATTCGCAGGAGCATGCTTGGGTTTTGGTAAGTAACTCAGGTGGTGTCCTTGGATACGCATTGTTTTATGTCGATGACATTCTTCTCACTGCGCACGCCAAGAACCTTGTTGCTATTAGGGACAAGGTCAAGATGATCTGGAAGGTTGAGGATCAGGGAACTCTCCTCAACCCTGCCGACAAGTCCTACACGGATGAGGTAGCAAGAAATCTGAATGTTCAGAGTGAGCTTGGATTTTTAGGTATGAGGTTGGGTTTCAGTGCAGCTGGAAATTTGGAATGTCACCAGTGCCCCTACATCCGCAACTGCTTGAAGGAGCGAAAGTTTGGAGACATCCGAGGAAGCCAGTCGCTCCCAGTCCTTGAAGAAGGGCTGCAGCCAGAATTTGCAGACCGTGACTGTGCAGAATATGTTTCGTTGCTCCGAAAAGGCCAGAAAGAAATAGGTGCACTGCTGTGGGCTTCGCAAAGAAGCCGTCCTGACATTGCTGCGTGTGTTGGAGCCCTTGGGTCTTTGCTAGTAACTCACCCCAAGAAAGTTTTGGAGTGGTGCCATCAAGTTTGGAGATACCTAGCTGGAACAGTAGATCACAGGCTGACGTTCCGTGGCGAAGCCGTGCCCGTCTCAGAGTTCCAGCTCATTGTCAGTGCAGATGCGAGCTTCGCACCAGGAGGTGACAAGAGTCGCTCAGGTGTAGTTGCCATGCTGAACGGTCGGTTGGTCCAACGGTCCAGTGTAAGACAGACACTAGCAGCGCAAAGCGCAGTGGAAGCAGAAATCCAAGCTGCAGGTTTAGGTTGTGTGTCAACGATCGCAATTCTCAACTTGCTGCCATTGCTCATAGGCAAGGGCACCCTAAGGGTTGAACTCTTGTCTGACAACACCGGCTGTATAGCCAACATGTTGCACACAGTGACCACGTGGCGAAATCGGCATTTCTGTGTTCGAGCAGCCGCTCTTCGATCACAGTTGACAGAACATGGCATCACCTTGAAATACCAGTCAGGCAAACTGATTTTGGCTGATGCGTTGACAAAAGTCTTGGGCAAGAATGCCCTGGAGCTTGCAAGAGAAGCCCTGTGTGTTTTTCGAATCTCCATATAGCTCCTGAGGAGGAGTGTTGTTGTCTTGCTTGTGTCTTTTGACCTGTGAGGCCAGGAACAATACGGAGAAGATTAGCACGCTTGAGATGACACGCATCAAGAATCGCACAAATCGAGAAGTGCTAGAAGAAAGCACGAAGATGACACGAACAAATCAGAAGTGTACTTTTGCGGGCCGGATTTGGCTCAAGTGCCCAGAGAAAAAGGTCCGATGTGTTTTGCCTTGCTGTGAGGGTTCATGGAAGATGATTCACATGAGCAGAGCGTTCATCAAATAACAAAAACTAGACCAAAGAGACTCACGAGTTTGGACGTTCCGCGCATCTTGCGCCAGTCAGTCAACTCCTCCTCTGCCGGTTTCCACTCTGCCACTCAGGTGTCTTTTTGGTGGGAACTGCCACAAGAAATCAAAAGCACCCAATGCAATCGTTCAGGAAGTGTTTTGTTCTCCATTGGAAAGGTGTTGAAGGTCATGAAGCCGGAAGTGCCACGGTGGAAACCTCTCATTGGAAAGCCTTCCCAGTAGCTCCGCAACCCGCAACCCCTCCTGTCCCATTGGCGACGCGACCGGCACCTGCCCAGCTGCAGGCGACCGGGGACACCCACATGGCTCAAGAGCAGGGTAGCCGCAAAGAAAATCCAGGGGAAGGCCCCCCCGAGGTTTGGCATGTTCTGTTGATCTTTGGTCGCACCAACGATCCACATGAAAACACCCAAATAGTTGCAGAGTGGCATCAAACAGGATCACAAGAAAATAGCGATACCATGCCAAGTTTTGCAACATGTGGATCTATATACATGACCATAATAGCATACACACAAACACCTGTCGTTCATAGTCTTGGGCAAAGAATTTGTGGTTGGATCGGCATTCCCAAATTCCACAAACCACCAGCTGCTTGCCCTCTCGCTGCTAAGCGAACGAAACGGATTACTGTACTGTTGAACCAACACAATGCCCTAAGCAGCTCAAGCCAAAAAGCATCCTCTCATGATCCATAAACAAAGAAGCCACACCCATGTCGGAAAGAAACCACACCCGCTGCCAGCACGCTCGTCGACTGCCAAAGTACCCTGGCTCATCAGGCCTCTCATCACGACCTTGATAGTCTTGCAGTGCGCTGGACAAGCACAAGAAATCATTAGTATCCACTCGTACCTGAGAACCATTGAGAACCAATCCAAAGAACCACACTCTTCCGAAAAAAAAACGAGCACACTTGATCCAACACGACCTATGGTTTTTCCATCCAGAAACAGCCATAGGTCGAACTCGTCTAAGGAGCCATGGCACACCTCCCAGCACCGCGACGCGCGCGACTCGCGCACCTCTCGGCACAGAGCTCCCGAGATAGGGCGAAGCGCATCTGGACCCGCAACAGCTCGGCCCGGTCCTCGGTGGCACAGAGCCATGGGAATGGGCCGTATACAAACGATCGATATAGTGGGAAATGACCACTTGGTGAGAATGGGAGAGAATAAGGACCTTAAGGTGAGAAGAAGGGACCTTTTTGGAGGACATGACCACTTGGTGAGACTAAGGTCATATAAGGTCCCACTTTTTCTGGGAAATCACCCCTTTTCAAAGGCCCCTCCGGCCGGAGCCCAAAAACCCAAGCAAGAGGTGGGTTAATGGCACGGGTGTGGCACAGACCAGCCGGGTGTGGCACACTAAGTGTCGAGGTTCGGAGTTCCATTTCTGTGGCATGGGCCTTTCTGGTGTTTCAGCAAGAGGGGGGAAACGAGAAGTGGAGAGAAACCAAACTGACTCCCGTCCGTGCGGGCTTACTTACGGTCCGTCCCCATCATCCGCGGACCGAGGGTACCGAACCGTCTTCGAAGTACCCAGGGATAGCAGTGGTAGCCACTTCTCAACATTCCCTACGAGTCCAAAGACCAAGTGAAACCTTATTGTATTTTACCTCCTTAAGTCTCGGTTTTGTATGACCATCTCCAGTAAAATGAGGTCTTTGACTTGTAGGGATTCATGATTCATGCCTGGGCATGTTCAAACATCCGGTGCGCGAGTTCCGAAGTTCCTTTAAGCTGGTGCGTCCGTGACTCACGCCCGACCGCTCGCCACTGCGGTACCCGCACCGAAAATCGTGGTCACCCCGCCAGCTCTCCGAACGGAATCCTCCCATACACCTCGCATCCCCCCGAACGCGGTCCCGCGCGCGCCGCGCACCACGCGCGGCACGCACCGCGCGCGACCACGCCGCAGGGCCTGCGCCGAGCGCTGCTGCGCGAGCTGCGCGCGCTGCTGGAAGACGAGGCGGCTCCAAGCACCAAAGAAGCAGCTCAGCCTGGGTGGAAAACGGGAAGACGAGGAAGGCAACGTCTTGCTATAAAGGTGATGTTAAAGAAACGGTGGAAACGGGCGTGCCGTCGTTTTCCACGGGAGGCTGGAAATTGTTGGTCGCCATTGAATTCATGAATTCATGTTTTTTATGGGTGGATTCACCTGTTTGGGTCAAGTTGACCACGAACGAGTCGTGACCTCCGTTGCACGCGCCAACGCTTGGGTCCCGCGCTGAGCTGCGCGGCACAAGCGCAGCCGCGGGCGTGGTGCGGAGGGCGGGGTGGCAGGTGGTGCTGGGCGCGTCTGGCCAGATGACGAGGGAGACCAAGTGCACTCTAGGCCCTGGACTTCCAAGACCATTCCAAGCAATGGTTCACCAGGGTGTTGTAGTGTAAAACGCCTTAGTAAAACCATGGTTGTTCGATAAAGGCTATTGAATCAATGGTGGTTGGAATGCTAGATCACATCTCAAGGCATGTAACGTTTACCCATTGTGGGAGGAGATCCTCATGGTCAATTGTGGCTGGATGAGTTACAGAGTACTGCATCCCAAAGTGCATGTCCCTGGGCAAAACTTGATCCTAATTCCGACTCTGTCAGCATTTGGTCAGTGTGGATGATGGCTACTAAGGGCCTCCACCCAAATAGTGTTATTACATGTTAGCAGCTCCAGACCACATGTAAAGAACAAAAAAAAAACACACACATTTACTCAGGATTGAGTACCTACGAAGGCAGCCAAAACACCCACACTCCCACACAGGCACCCACACAGCCGCACACACTATATACACCCTTGCAGACTAACATAGAACCTGAAAGCACCAGTTTCCTAGCACAACAGCATCTGCTCTGGATTGGGTTCCGCAGAAAGAACACATAACATCCACATGTCATCTGTGAGTTGCTGCCTACGAAACTCCTGAGCAAGCAACATGAACAAACAGTCGTATTGGTGGAAGAGTGCCGATGCTACAGCAGCGTGGTTGTAGCACAAGTTCCTCTCAGTGGGCTAGAATCCTTCCTAAACCAAAAGGACCAAGGGTCTAAGAGTACGCCTGAGGACAGTCAAAGTAGAGTCAAAGGACCTGTTCGTTCCCTCTGTTCGTACCCGGCGGCTTTGCGTGCCTGCGCTAAAACCTGTGGCACACCACCTGCATTCGGGGCGCATTCGGGGCATTTCTCGGACACGAAGACCAAAGCGGTGTGCTAAGCATCGATCCTTCGGTCTACCGAGCATGGCAAGAGGAGCCACATGGCATATACCTAGAACCTGAGTGATCCCTGTTTTGGAGTCAAAACATGGTCCTTACCTATCAAAACAAAGGTCATATGGGTTCTAGGTATATATATATATCATATATTAGTATTAGCTGTTTAATACACCTAGGACCCAAACAGGACCCCTGTCTTGACAGGAAAAGTCCATATTTTGCGAGGTTGGAGATCCAAACTTTAAATACATAGCTTGGTCACCACCGGGTTTGTGTCGGTGAATATTGTCGGTGAATTCCACCCTGCCAGGCAGATAGTGTCGGCTCACTCAATAATCAAGCGGAGTAACAAACTCCCTGTGTTCATCGGATCACAGAGCTGGCTGTTCATCGGAGAGTTGCTCAATAGTGCATCCAATGGTGTTCCCACCGATCACAGATCCAAACCACCAAGCATGAGATTCACCCTGCTCTAAGCAGGGTTGACGCTTGGATCAAGCAATAGAAAACACGTGGAAGGCGTGCGACTGAAGGATCCCTTTACCATCCTTTACCGAGAATCAGCCGTGGATAAAAGAAGCAGGGCCTCTGCTACTTAGCTTCGTGGCCATTCCAGGGTGGCCCACCCAAAATGATCCCTACGATCCGAAGGAAGCTTGTAAAGGTTTGACTATATAAGACCAGATAGGGCATCTGGCCGGGAGCCGAGACGGATCTAGAAATGGCAGAACACCAAGGACACCGAGACGAATCGGTTCGGTGAGTCGCAGCGCCCGGACGCCCCCATCTTGACCGCGGGAAAAAGGAGGGGGCCCCGGTCGTAGCAAAAGAACCAGGAGTCACAAGACCGACCTACTTCGCGGTGGACGACCGTCGTTCGCGACCCGTCGGGGTCCGATTCCAATGCCACGCGCGGGACCACGGCAGCGACCTGGCCAAAGTGGCTTTGGTTCGGCCGCCGCATGTTCCGACCTCAGGCCAACAGCAGGGACCGCGGCCACTCCAAAGACCAACGGGCACCCGGAAATGGCGAGGGGCACCTGGTTTCGGTGCTCCTACGTACGCCCAGTCAACTGATCAACTCCAGTGAGGTTCAATTGACGTGTAGGGTTCACTTGGTCACCACTGACGGGTAACTGGAAATTGGTATTTACCATGGACCCTGTGGCAACTTGGCCCTGTCAGGCCCTGTCAGGCTCTATGACTCTATGAGCCTTGTGCGTCGATCCATCTGGATGTCACAGTCACCACCATCCCCAGTTCCGACCGTTGGACCCATATTCTTCTACATACAGCACAGACCGGGTTTGGACCGCAGACCGGCGACCGCCTTCGCGGATTCCAACATGCTGACTGAACACCACCCTTTGGTGCAAATGAAGCTGACCATTCGGGTTCACAACCTAGATAGAGCCGACCAGGACTCGGAACACAGGCAGATCGATCTTCTTCACTGGTTCACTCGCCGTCGCACGGCGGATGAGTTCACGATCGTGGCAAAGGCGGCACTGCTTGGAATCGAATCTCGTTCATTTGGGTTCTCCCTTTGCTCTACAGCACCTGGATTGCTGGTGTTTTCGCCTGTTGGGCTACACTGGTTCGAGATCTCCACCAAGTTCTCGAAAGTCTGCTCCTTCACAGGCTTCTTTAAGCCCACCATCATCGTTCACCAGCGCATGAAAACTGCGATTCCCGTCAGCCCTTTCAACGATGGAATCACCCTCATCGTCGAGATCCACACGAGCTGGCGACACTTCGTTCAGCAAATGGCTGTGGATCAAAAACAGGAGGCCTTGGTCGCCTTGGTTGGCCTACCTCGAATTCAAGATATACCCTGGGAGTCAAAGACTACACAAAGAATCAACAAATTAACTAAAGGAATACTTTACTTTCGAAGGTCAAAATATAGTCTTTGGACTTCTGGGGTATACGGTGTAGTGATCGGGCTCCAGGTGGATCATGACCTGGCTCATCCTCTCTGGGGCCTTGGGACTGGAAGCTTCGAGGACAAATGCTTCGGTCTCTTCCCCAATGCTAAGCTGGCTGGCACCGATGCCCAGCTCCCGATGGAAGGCGGAAAAGACCTTCGACCCTGTTTCAGGTGCTCAAAAAACCCTTAGGGCTCTTGCCCACACTCGGAAGGTGGGGACTGACCCCCCCAAGACCACCCACGGCCCACCGAACCTTTTCGGATGGGGGTGCGAGTTCAAACGGGAACGATCGATCCGACCAGCTCAATGCACCGAACAATGCACCCGCGCGGCCAGGCGTGCAGGGAAGCGAAGAGGAGGACCAGTCGATACGCCGCCTGACAGCGACCCATCCAGCGAGTCACTCGAAACGGAGTCTGGAGAAGCCTCAATTCTAGACTGTGGGAAATGAATGTTTCACAATATGAAACAATATGTTCCTGAATGAATGGCTTTACATCTTCATATGGGGGTGTTATTCATCAAGAGTCTATACATGACTGTTGATGGAAGAAGTAGGTCCCGCAACATATACTGCCACTCCACATCAAAAAAATGCCTTAAGCAAAACCAGGGGTTGGAGTAGGTCCATCATGACAGCTCCCTGCTCTGGAAGTTTCTCCGTCCAGTGACATGTGATTTGTGTTGCCTGGGCCAAAACAAGCCTAGTTCCAAAAATCATTGACCCACGACCAGACCGGCATCCTCCATGTTTCCTTGAACAAACGGGTGGTGATTGGATATGCTGGATGAGTGATGAGATATGACGAGTGGCACCCCATCTTTAGGAACCCTCGCCGCATCCTCGTCCTTTTCCCGGCCTCGCCACGCCCGAGCACAGCCAAGAGCCCGGGACGCATCCTGCCGGTCTCCCTCTCAAGGGCTGAACGTCCCGTGCGGCGAGAAGAGGAGCCCGTTACACTATGAGAAGCTATGAGAAGATCCCAACAGTGTGCCCCTCACCCACGGTCGCCCCGGGGATCTTCGATGCGCAACGGCCAAGCACCGAACCATGAGATGCTTCATCTGGCTTCATCCCCCTGAGCCTTCATCCCGAACCCAAAGGATCGACGTTGGCCCAGTCATTTAAAAAGGAATCAACCTGGCCGCAGCCTGACCTGGTGAACACCCACAGCAAACGGGTGAAACGGGTGGACTCCGGGTTGACCATGCCTTGTAGTGAAGTTCTTCTGTTCCCTAGAAGTCCAAAGACTATTTTCGGCACCACCCAAGTAAAGGAAGTTCCTTTTCGGATGACCTAAAGACCGTGTTAAAAATGGTCTTGGACTCCCAGGGTGTTCTTTCTCGGTGGTGGAGAACAAAAGGTTTCCCGTTGTCGACGACCGCCATCCCTCAGCCTCTTGGTGCCGATGTTCAGCCATGTCGACGTCCACCCATCGACTCGAACGAACAGAGACTCAGGAAGTACTTCCTCGTGGTCCACGAGGAAGTCCGAAGTGGTCCACGTGGTCCAACAAAGAATTCGTCCCCAAGAAAGTTGACAGACTATAAAAAGAATGGTCTTTAGGGGACCTGAAAAGGAACTTCCTTTACTTCAGCCGGTCAAAATATAGTCTTTGGACTTCTAGGGTGACTGTATCCATACAAAGCTAAAGCCGAACCCCTTCGACCATTCCAGAAACGGTGTGATGCTGGATTTTCTAGCCGAATCTCGTACAACCATGGTGACTTTCTTTTACGCCATCATAACGCCTAGAATCATGGTGATACGTAGGGACGTAGGGATATGTAGGGATAAGGGATACGTAGGGACTCACGTGAGTCACGTGAGTCACCCTACACGCCCAACCGAGCCCACGCGGGTTCGATGAGTCCATCGGCACTATGGGTCGATCTGGTGTAGGAAACACCGGATCGAAGGGGTTCCGGTCCAGCGGCACTTGGGTGTACTTCAGTGAGGCCTGGTGGTATAGAGCGGGAGACCCTGCGAAGCACATACTGGCCCGTTGCTGGGCAGCGCCTGGAAAGATCATGAATCATGTTCCTCCACAAACTGGGGATGCCATCAACTTCCATGATTGTTTCAGGACTGAAATGTACATTATGTACTACCCAGAGAAAATGAATCCCAAACCTACGGACAGGCCGCTTTCCACTTCCATCTTGGATGAACTTTGCCACCTCAAACTGAGGAACTGAAGAGGTACCAGGCAGCAGAAATCCGTGAAAAGGGGAAGAAGTCGTCTTTATGGACTAAATACCATGTTACCATTCAGATGGTGCTCATCCACCTTCAATGGCCAATAAACACGGTCCTTTCTACTTGGGAACTGCTCCCGGCCCAGCTGCCAGTGGATGAGATCAAGTGATCACTTTAGGACGCGAAGATGAGGTCGAACCAGGACCTTTCCCGTGACCCTTTGAGATCTGAGAATGAGGTCACTGAAGTCTGTCAAAGGTCACTTACCAATCCTGAAAAGATCACTGAGAAGGTCCAGGAAGTTTGGATCTTCAAAACACGGAGACCTGTGAGAACCTGGTGGGAGTTCTTTCCTCATCTGGGTGTGGAAAATTGCATGGGGAGACCCGGTGGCCCCAGTGGGGTGCGAACCTAGCAGCGGGTCGTTGCCGGGGAGGTCTCCCTTCTCTCCATGCACCCCGAAAATTCCCACTCAGCACATCAAATCACCCCATCATCCCTCATGAAACGTCTACACTCCCTATGTCCATGCGAAAGCTCCGGATGCCACGCGCGCCTCCTGCGATTCCACTCGGCTTGCCTGCGGTGGTCAATCGGTTCTCAGCACAAGTTTCAAGAAACTTCAAAGCAAAGAACTGATAGAATGATACCAGGAGCCGCGTTTCGGGGTGTCTATTGACAGCCCCTTAGAGGTGATTCGGGGTGTCCATTAACCACTCCTTGTGGGTCCTAGTATAGGTGCTTTTCGTGCGGTCTCGCGTGGATGCCCTTGCAACACCTGACAACAGCACCAATGGCGCCAGTCATCCCTTTGCCGTGCGGTCTCGTAACAAAGGGTATCCTGTTCGGCGCCAGGCGAAGTCAAGGTACCCAGCTTGGCCCACCACTTCCCTGCAACTCATCCGACCACTGGACCAGCGGCCTGACACCGAACCAAAGGGCTGACAGACTCTGACGGACGGGCCTCACTCGAGATGCGCGGAAGGTGACAAGGCTCCAATGTAGCAGAACTTGCGTCAGCATGCGCTTCTCCTCCAACTTCTTCTCCTCCACTTCGGGTTCTTCATGGCAGCATGTGATACTCTCATATACTCTCCAGAAGCAGGAAAGTGCGAACAGAAGTTTAGAGGTGGCCTGATGTTGGATGCTGAGTCAAAGACCAGAAATCCCTAGTGCCATCACTAGCCCAGGCGACCAATTGGGGAGTGATTTCGATTTCATGCGGGCAGGGGTCACCGGGGCCGTAGACGGCCTGGTCGTCATGTCTACGCTTGGAGACTGGGCATCCCGGTCGACTCTTGGAGACTCTATCCCCAGCTTGCACCTGAGCGTTCGCTGTGACCTAATCTTGCTATCCCCCAGTAACAGTGCAGTATCGGGGATGACGTGACTGTTCAGGTGCATCTTGGACATGTTCATGACCGAAGGCTGGGACGTCCCTGTTGGTCAGCCTGTTTGCGGGCGAACTTCCAGGCCTGGAACTTGTGACCCCCAACCAACCAGTGGATCGAGTTCGGTCACTTAAGACGAACTAGGCCATGCAAGTTTGCCAGGATCGTTGTTGGATCAGTCGCCAAACGCCCTTGAGCCCTTCTTGACCTCTTGACACTAAAGATTCCAACAAGCCGATTGCCCAGTGAGGCTGGAATCAGATCCTCCGTTTTCTTTCCTCTGCTGCCCTTGGACTCAAGTTCCATCATCCCCATGCCCCATGCCACAACTGGGGGACCCATGAGACCTAGAAAATCGAAAGAACGCTGAAGCAACCAGGATCCCAGAGTTCTGCCGAGACAGCAGACACTCTTAAGATTGTTTTTACCGTTCGAAACCACGTCCTATGGCATGTCTCCCTTTGCCAAGGACAAGAGCCGGGGGTCATTGTGAAGGCTCCTTGAAGTTCCAACCTTCCTGCCATGCCCCAGAAAGCCCAAGAAACAAACTCCCCCTGCCTCGTGCTGCGGCAGTTCGCGTTCACGCTCCCTCCGTGGACTCTGTAGACTCACGCGAGTTTCACAGTCCATGGATCGCACCATCCTCAGCACTGAAAAGCGGAGGAAAACAAAAACATCATCTTTATAAATGTCACTATAAATATATATATATATACATACACAGTATGTGTGTTTGAGATGCTGCACACGTACGAATAAAATCCTATAGTCAACTCCTTTCGGAGTCCAGGACAATAACCGGGCCAGTTCAGATCCGACCCCGGACCTCGGTTCCCGGGCCTTCTCACCTCCGTCCGTCGGCGCCAAGCGCCCCACGCGGCCATCAGCCGCAGCTCGTCGCGCAGCGCCAGCACACGCCGCGCCTGGCGGAGCGCGCGCAGCTGGCGTCGCCCACGGCGCAGGAGGTGCCAACGACGCAGGTAGGGCGGAGCCGCCGGAGCGGCGCGTGCGCTGGCGTCGTCGGAGAGCAGGAGTTGCGCCACCTGGAGTACAAACAAAGCGCATGCGCCGCAGGTGAAAGCGCCACTGAAAACGCCGGTTTTGCGGACCGCGGATCTACTGAAGATCGATTTCGACCTCCTGCAGGTGCTTGGTCTAAGACATCAGGCCAATCCTTTAAGAATCTCTGTGTTCGAAAGCCTTTGGCTTGGTCTCAAATCCTCAGTGAATCATCACTCCCTCTGAACCCACCCCCCCCCCCCAAAGACTCCCCGACCTCACGCGCCGCTCCGCTCCGGTCGCTGCCGGAGCTCGCCACCCGCTGGATCAGCGTCGCCACCTCTGCGGCGGCGGCCTCTTTGCAGAGCTCACCTTGAACACCACCGGGTCGCCCCGGCTGTCCACACACAACTCGCGGTCACGATGTCCGCCCCTCACAGCCCGGGTGCACTCAGTGGGGTGCTAGTGGGGTGCTAGTTGATGTATACCAGGACACCCTAAGGCTAAGGGGCTTCTATTGATAGCCCCGAAAAGAGGTGATGTGATTCGGGGTGTCCATGAACCACCCCGACTGGGGGTTGTGGTATACAAAACAAAAGAATCAGAGAAAAGAAAACACCAGCTTCTTCAGTTCGTGGACCGTTTAGGAGTCCCTGTTTGTGAAGTTTCGAGGCCTGTCTGTGACCTCAAATTAGGACCAGAAGGTCACTTTGAAGAACAGGGCACATGAAAAAACGGCATCCTCCACCAAATCTAAGCAGAATTGGCGTAACTTCTCGGTAGTTCGTGTCCAGGCTTTAGTTAATCCCGGAAACCAATCTCAAAACCAAGGGGATTCCTTTGCGCGATCGAGTGGCTCAGGTCTCGACACTGTCTGCCAAGCTGGCATGCTGTGTCCACCCGGTCTGCGTCCACCGGACGACTCGCGGGTGCAAAGCGCGGTGTGCCCCGCGGGACGCGGACGCCGACGCAGCGCGGCGGTGGAAAGGCCGCCACCGGAGGGCTTTCGACCGGTTTCCTGGAGTGCGGACCGTCTGTGCCCATCTGTCGCGCTGTCTGACCGCGGGGCACATGTGGCGGGGCCTCCATGTGGGGTTGCCCTTCAAATCGGAAACATGACAGGTGTGCAAAGGTCGTGTGTGGCTCCACATGAGCTGTCTATAGAGGAAGAAGAGCCCTTCCAATTGCGTTCTTCTATTTGTTTGGGGGGAGGCTCTTGTTTTGCACATATTCAGACCAAATCAGCCAAGAAAACCAAAACCATTCAGCAATGAGTTGAGAATCCTCTAGCTGTCATGTTTTTTACTCCCATGCAGGTGTCTCAATGTGCTTCATGTTCATGTGCTTTCCCATGGAAACCGCAACTGTCTTGCTATGTCCTCCTTTCTTGCTTTATAGTGACGGACAAATACTTAGAAATGGAACATCACTTTTCAAAAAATGCCAGTTACAAAAAGCATGCGGGACGTTCTAAACATAACCCAACACCTTTAACATGCTTGAATCCATAACTCACTAATAGCCAACCTCACTTAGAACATCTGCTTTCCAAACATCCCAGGTGTTCTAAGTGTCTGTCCGACCGTGTCACGTCGCATGAGCCATCATCCTCCCCACTGCCCTCCCTTCAGGCCGAACCAGCTCGGCGGCGCCTCTGCTCAGCTCGACCCCGCGGCGGAGTTCGGGCCTCCTGCATTCGGCCGAATCTGCTTCTCCGAAAACCGCGGCTCCGGCACACCATCGCCCTCCACCCTCGAAGTCCAACCGGAAATATATATACAGTATATATGTCGGTCTGCATCCTGACCCTTCAGCCACACTGGGTGTCAGGGATAGTTGATGGGCTGATGGCTCCTCCTCTTTCCAAATCCCTGCAGCTCCCCTTCGAGCAACATCTGAGCCCCGGACGAACGGCGCCCATTGCGCCCTGAGCAGTTCTTGCATCGGTGCACGGGTCGGTGCGGGCGAGTCGCACAAACGGTTCAGGCAGTGACACAGGGTGCACCACATATGGGACTTTGGACCCTCCTAAGTAGGGGCCATAGAGGGGTTTGGGTCGAACCGATCATCTCCAATCCCTAGGTTTTGAGGGACCGGGAAAGGGCTTGGAGCATCTGGGTGAGGAAAACACATGAGCAACTCCCGCTTTTTGAAAATTGGCCAACCTCTACTGGACCTCGGTCTTCACTGTGAAGAACCAAGAAGCAGGAAAAGGGCACTTGGCCACGAGACGCTTGTAACATCCTGGAACATCCAAAGTGCTCAAAAAGCTGGAACATCTTGGAACTTCCAAATACCCGTCCAAAACTCCCTCCCTACGCGCCACGGTGCCTGAAGGTGGTGGAGGCCTGTGCGGCCTGCGGTGCCACGGTTCAACAGAGAGCACGGCCCGGTGAGGTGGGGTGCAGAGTCCGAGCGGCGAGTGTAGCCTGTTCAGGGCTAGGTGGGTCTTGGAAAGCAAAGAAGGGGAAGCAATGAAGTGATCTTGGCCAAAGGGATACAGGTTGTTTCTAAAAGCTATAACCAGGTGCATCAGCATGGTCAGTGGATCAACAGGTTGCCAACCTTGCCAAGCTCTGCCACAGAGTATAGAAAATCATGGAACATCTAACGATCTGAAGTTGGATGGGCATAGCCTAGCTCCAAACAAAGCTACGACCTCTTCTGAATCCGTTTCTTGTGCTCGGCAAGTTTTTTGCGTGGCAGCCGTCATGCAGAGTCATGGTGCCTTCGAGGTGGTCTTGGCCCATCGTCGATCAACGGGAGTGACCAGCGAACCACTCCGCACACGGTGAGGACGAACGATGGGGCGTGGAGGTGTGGAGCACGATGATGGGAACCCCTGGAGGTTGATCCGGTGTTGTAAAATCCTTAGCAGAACAATGTAAAATCCTTAGTAAAATCCTTAGTGTTGGAAGATCCTTGTGTAAAATCCTTAGTGTTTTAAAATCCTTGTAATCTTCCGGACTCCGAGGAGCCTTTTCAATCCGAATCCGAAAAGAGAGAGACCGAGGACGACGGTCTGACAGTCTGACCTGGTGACTTTTCACTGGACACCGAGCAGTCCATGACCGTGAAGCAGTCCATGTAGGTTGACTGAGTCATGGTCATGTCCCCTGACATATTCCATACAAGAATGTATGACAAAGGGGTCACCTGGCTGGAAGCCCCTACACCACTATATAAGCCCCTTGAAGGTCCAGGTATGCGTATGTATGTGGGAATACTTCCACTGAGTCATGTATGTGGAAGATGTCCACTGCCTGAAGTTGAAAACGGCCTATCAGTAGAGGAAGACAGTCGAAACCAATTCGAAACCAGAAAACAAAAAAATAGCATATTCAATGGTAGATGGAGACCGGGTTGGCCTGGAGACCGTTCGACCTGTCGTCTCCAGAAATCCGCTACATCGCCGACCGCTGACCGGGATTCAGCCTATGTGAATGCATGGGTGGCCCGGAATCCGAGTGAAAGAGTCTCGGAAAGTGAAGTGGTAGTGGTGCTCCGCACATTCACAGAAGCACGAAGGTAGGTGAAAACTCTGGCTGGCCTGCATCGCTCCGCTTGCGGATGCCAAAAGGCTCCAACTCTTGAGCCAATAAAGGTCTGTGTGTGTGATGTGTCATCCCAGCAGATCTGGGTCTGACCCTGCAAAAAAGGAAAAGAACAAACGCCTTGAGCCAGATGTAGGGTTTGGGGAGGGGAGCTGGCTTCCAGTGCATGTCTGGCTAAATTAACGTGGTGTTCTTAAACAGGCCAACCTAGACACAGACCCAAATTCTTTCCTTTGAAAGCCCTCAATCTGTGTGCCTGAATGACATCATTCACTCTTAAACCTGTGGGTCGTGGACCACCTTTCAGAGCAGATGTGATCCATTGTGATCCCCTAATTTGGTCCCGCTTGGAAACTGACGAATGTGCTGGCGATAAACTACTGTATATCTAAAATCCACGTAGTGTTTTCATGCAAATCAACAGCGGCTCAAATGATTCGATTGCGGTTTTTGTGGGAATCTGACATGATCTATATTATATACACAGAAGCTGCTATGAAGGCTCTTTGCTCCAAGTTTTGCATCAGCCAATATCCCTTTTTGTAGAAAGCAACCGTCGGTTTGGCAGTGGAACTGATATGAAAGCACCCGTCGGTCCCACGAACTGATCCACACGTTCGCTGTTCTGAGGTATTTGATTGGGGTGACCCCCTAACGCCTCTGAACCTCAACCGGGGCACCCGTTTTTTCGAGATACCCCCAAGCCCTCGGCCCTGGTTGTAAATGGCCTTTCTTTCAGGATCAAAACCGGTTCTCCGCCCATGGGAAGCCTCGAAGGAAAACCGCCTTTATTCGTTCCCGCTCGCTCCACTTTGGGTCCCTCGAGGCGGTGTCGAAGTGTTCATAGCTGGGATCCATTCTTCGGTCTTGGGCCCAGTTGGTCATACATTTCTACACGCACTAGAAGACTCCAAAGGAAGTCCGTTTTCGACCCGGAGACTGCTCCGACAGGGAAGTCCGACTAAGGAACCGGAAGGCCGGAAGGAGGTGGAACCGTGTCATACCGTAAGAGAAGCTCATTCATTGCTTCCACGTGTCATCCGAACTTCGTCACCTTGAGGACTTCATCACCTCCGATTTTTCCGGACTCCCTCTGAGGTTTCCCTGGAAAAGAAAGCTTGAGGCTTTTTCCAACACGGTTCTTTTTTAGTGACTTTTCCTGAGTTGGTTTCGGACTGGAATCCTAGATGTCACAACAAACGCCATACCTACGTCAGAAACCTGTGAAACGGACACCGTTCGACCAGCTCAAGGCGTCTTAGATGGATCCGTTCGTCTTCAGTTCTTCAAGGGCCAACACCTGTCTTAGGTGTTCGACTGAATGCCCAATAGTGTGCGTGCGTGTGTCTCAAAACAAATGGGTGCCTGGACCATCCAATAGGTGCCCAATGGATATCCCTTAGTGTAGCTGTGCGTATCTTGACTCTTGAGCATGTCACACTCAAATTTCAAGCAGAGTGTTGCTTCTCCATGTTGCTAGTCGGTCAGCTCTTTCTCCCCGTCTTTCAGCTGTTTCTTCCTGCTCTCCTCCAAGCACCTCATGTTGAGGTCCCACCGTTTTTCAGACACCCACAGCCTCGCAAACATTGGCTACTGGCTTCACACGGCCCAGGTGTGCTTTGTACTCGAAACGGTTCGGTGGTTTTGATACAAAATGTCCATCTTGTTCAATCATTTCAGGGTGGTTTCTCTCAAAATGTGAGATTTCCAGATTTTCAGTTTGCCGAAGTCCATTTCGCGATGCTACAACACTACCCTAGGCCCCTTTCTAATCCTCGGACACTCAGACCGGGGTCAGACCTTTCTTTCCACCAAGTTTCGGAGGGAGGTCCGCATCATAAGACCCTTTCCACTGAGGGAGGTCCGCATTCGTAGAGTAGGGCAAAATGATCCTTCGCTATTGAAGCAAGCACAAATCTCATGAACTGTCCCTCTCTTTTCAAGTCCACGTGGTTTTTCCTGGGCCGCATCCACCTGGCTGATGTTGCCTGAGTGCTTATGGACTCAGGTCTATTTGTTGATCTTGAATAATGTCCCTTTTCAGGTGTGTGCCGTGTGTTAGGTGTGTTCCTCCTATTTATATATAATACCCCAAAGAAAGGGCTGTAAAGTGTCGAACTGCAGCCTGGCAGTGAATAGGATACGGTGAGGTGCACTTTTTTGCAGTCCTACCTGGCTCTCTCTCTCTCTCTCACTTTCTCCATCTCACTGGAGAGACTTCTCTTCCTCGGAGCTGCTCTCAATGGAGGAGCCCTCACACTTCTCCACAGCTGCTGTGGCGAGGTCCTGCCGTGCTTTTCCATGCGCAAAGTTCTGCGACGATCGTGAACATGCGGCGCCTGGAGGCCGACATCGTGGTAGCTGTCTCTTTGGGGCCTTCAAAAACCAGTGCCTCAAGTGTCACAAAGATTCACAAGGGGTTCGTTTGGTAGAAATACACCATGGGGTCGGGCCAAGTTGTCCTGTGTCCTTGTTGTGGTTGGTCCATTGATCATGCAAATGTATTAAGCGCTAAGTATTAAGACACTGATCGTGTCTGAATAGGCCCTGAAGTCTTTGAGGGAATCAGAGCTGATTAGAGCCTCAACGAATGCCGCCCACGTGGCTTTTCTGTTGGTTTCTTCGGTGGATCGAACCAACCAACCAACCAACCCCTGCTGGGCTGTAGGGCCTGGCCAATGGCCGGCCTGGGTGGTGCACGTGCTGCCAGGTGCTGCCAGGAAGCGACTGGGCACTGGAATTGTCCCTATGCCCCGGCGACATGTTTGGTTGTTTGGCGGTTTGAACTGGACATGTCTTCGTTTTCCCCAATGGGTTGGGGTTTTCGTCCTCCAAACACACCCAAAAACCGGGGCGGGGGTCCAACCTTCGGCCCAACAGACTCCGGCAGACTGGCTGTGAGGTCCCTGCTTCTCTTCCAAAAATCACAGAAAAATAGGACTGGGTAGGGGAAATCCAAAAATAGGACCTGCGTTAGAAATATTAATTCCAGAACATTGATTCTGGACTGAGTAGGGGACCTGGATAAATCTTCTAACGCAGGGGCTATCTTTAGATATCTTTAGATTCCAAGTCGCTGCTCCCGTGCTCTCCCGTTTTGGGCGATCGTCCAGGTACCTCGCCCGCGAAGAAAGGCACCTCCCTCTGGCGAACCCGGTTTCCCGTCCTGGGCCCTTCGGACCAGGGCAGACACCAAGGCCTCAAAGACGTAGGCGGTGAAGACCAAGGTGAGCAAATACCTGGCAGCGATGGCCGCACGGCTTGGGGATGGGGAGCCCCGGACCAAAAACACCTCCAACTACTGAGAGACCCATCTGGTACTGCTGTTTGAAGGACCCCCGAGTCTACTGAGATCCGCCGATCCGCCTGACCTCATTGCGGTACACTTGGAAGTCCAAGGTCTTAGACCCACCGGTGCCAGTGTTGCGGGTATCCAAACGCTCCAAGGTTCTGGCGATCTCATGAAAAGGGGCCACCGAAAAGGGGCCACCGAGAAGCAAGCACCATCTATAACACGAACATGGGCGTCTGAGCTGGCGGGCTGGCGTTTCGGGCATGAGATCCCTTTCATGGGGACCGGGGAGAGTGGCTCAGAAGCGGGAGAAGGAAACACCCCTCATGAACTCAAAGCTGGTCGAATCGAAGGGCAACGCCGTGAATCGAAGGATTGAAGAGCTGAAATCATCTGCGTCTGCTCTTCTGCTCTTCTGCGTCTGACTGATCATCTCCGTCTTCCTCAACCCTGGGAGTCCAGTAGACTATTCTTAGGTCTGACTCGAAAATGTCCTGAGTCTGGGAATTTGTGTGAACACTTCGGTGGTGCCAAAGCTTAGTCGAACTCACTGGGCTTCGGTCACCAGTAGTTCCAAAGGGGTGCCGAACTTGAAGGATAGGGGTGCCCAGAACATCCACTCACTGGATGGGACTAAAAACCACCCTTTGTGACTCGTGGCGGATCGAGTTATGCAACACCTTCGCATGAAGCCCGCATTGCTTGCCCAGGTGCACCGGCAGGCCGACCCACAGGCCAATGCCATGCTGCACTGCCAGATCCAGCCAAGGCCTCGTTGGCCGTCCACATCCCAAACGGGAAAAGGAGAAAGGAAAAGGGGTGAAAATAGGCATCCCCAGCTTCTTCGACCGAACTTTGGAGTCCTAAGTGGCCTCAAACCAGGGGAGAACAAGGTCACTTTGCTTCTTTCAGGCGATATCTTGTCCCAATCATCCCATCGTCTTCGTCAGGACTTGTGGTTCAACCGTCTGCATCAACGCGCCATGTCTGCATGGCTTGGATCAACGCCGGACTTGAGGTCTCCCTGTTTTACTATGCATGCACATATCTTACAATGTCTTCACCCGTTGTTTTGAGGGTCAAAAACAGCCACGTCCACCGATGCGAGTGGAGTGCCCGGCTCCAGAGGTTTCCAGTCGCGAAGGCGCGAAGCGAACCACCCAGTGACTGGACTGACTGGACTGGATGGTGAAAGACTGCACTTGGACCGATTTGGACCTTCATCAGCTCCAGAGTGAGACTTCAGAAAGGCCAGCCCTGGTGAACCTTGATCTGAGAAAACCCCTCAGCCAGCAGCCAGGATTTCGTTGAACAGCCTTCAACAATGGCTGTTGTGGGGATGCCTCGAGCTGTCCTTTCCGCACCAGATCCGGAGGGAAAGCATGCTGAAAAAGATCAGTTAGTTGCGTCCCCGAGAACCGTCTGACGCCCTGTTGATTCCGGGCCAAAGAAAAGAATTGGAGACGGCAAGCTGTGAGCAGGTGTGAAAACACGTAACTGGTAAACGGTAAACTCCTTAAGAAGTGAGGCAGAAGCAAGCAATTCCCGGCCTCACCGCTTGTTCCAGGTTCGTCTGCACCAAATATTGGCAGTAGGAGATCCGCCCCAGCATCTTGCCCACGCGCGACGTGAGCAACGGCACCATGGCATCCTCCTCGGTGGCGCAAGCCAGCAGCAGCAGGCACATGATCGGCAAGATTCCTCCGGCTCAGGGGATTGCAGGGGGGTTGGAAGGTCCGGGAAGGTCGAAACGACCATGCTGAACATGAATTTGGGTGAAAGGCTTCGATCCGGCCCCATGAAAGTCACCGTGGCCTGCAACATGTAACACATACAAGATATTTACCAGCACCCGACTTCAGAGGTCACCACCTGCCACTTTTCAGTCTCCAGGACCTGTAGAGTCGGGTGCTGCCCCATCCTTTATCGGAATCACAGGATCAAAGGACCGCATCATGAAGGACATTGATACAAGGATATAATATGTATGTACCTGGACCATCCTGGACCATCCTGTCTGGGCTTCCTGGCTGGACTACCCTGCACTACGTACGGATCTCCATTGACCACCCTGACAGGATGGTCCAGGTAAGGACTTGCGGATCCACTTTTCTGCAGCTTATCACTGATCATGCCCACTTGGGTCCACCCTTCCCAACACCAGTCTCCGAGTCCTCCGTTGTGGCAAAAGGCGTAAAACCCGGTGGCTTTCCAGGGATCCAAACGCAGCATCACCTGAGTTCCGTCCCACACCCGACCCTTAAACCCATGGGAATCCACACCGGCGGAGCCACGGAACGCACGGTGCGGACCACCCGGACCCGAAGGGGGCTCCGTCTCGGTGCGGGTCGGTCGACATCGGCGGCGAAAGCAAGGGATGGTATAGCCCTCTCAAGACTCTTGGCTCAATTCCCGAATAATAAGGCTTCACCAAAGAGGGCGTAATAAGGAGTCGTGATAAAGGAGTAAGGAGTACTTTTGAGAAAAATGACTCTATAGGGCTAACAAGACTCCTCTCAATTCCCGAAGATAGTGATATAAGGAGTCGTAATAAGGCTTCACCAAAGATGGTCGCTGGCAGTTGAGCCAGGAGTTCGGGGGGGGCTTAATGAGTACTTCAAGACTTCGACGTGGACGTCGAAACAATCCCAGTCCAAATCAACGCGTCGGGGTGGCAGGCGAGTGCCAACTCAAGGGTCTGCAATCACCAAACCCATGCTCGCCCGTTTTCCAGAAGGGATTCATCAACACTCAACACCAGTGTTTTGAAAGAAGTGATGTCACTCTCCATTCATCTTCAGAAGGTTGGGAATTCTGATTTCCTGCCGGCAATGGTGAACTCTCCACGTCATCTGTCCACATCAGCTGTGATCGTTTGTTCGGTGGTCTCTCCAATGATCAATACCCAAACACTCCATGGGACTGGAATATATGCCGCCCCATTGACCCCCCAAACCACCCTAAATGTAGGCATATATGGCAGTCCCATGAAGCGTCTGAGATACTTTTGAGAAAAATGACCTGCTGACCTCCACGCCATGAGGACCGCCTTTCGCGTGACTTGGAGGAGCTAAGTTTGGTAACACCGAATCCGAAATCCAGAATCTGAGGAGATCACTTCTTCCCAATGGAACTATAACACTGTAACCCTAGGCTTCCAACCACCATTGATTTAATGCTCTGAATCCCGAACCATGGTCTTGCTAAGGAATTTACACTACAACAACAGGTCAACCGAACACTTTTCAAGCTCTTGGAAGGCGCGGCTAGTGTGTGAGCGTCCTTTGGGGTGGAAACTGGTTTCTTACCATGATTCGTCCTGTCGCTGTCTGTGGGTATAGACAAGATGTTTGAAAAAACTAGGGGCAACCCCAAATCATTTCACGTTTGCCTTCCTTCTTCGCGGAACCACCACGAGACGGTCGGTCGATCTCTCGGCCTCATTCGATGCTCGTCGGGTCGACCCGCGGAATTCGAGACCCGCCGCGTTTGCTCGGCGCGCGCGGTTCATCGGTTCATCGGATGCATCCGGAACACGATGAGCACATAGATCACCAGGGCGAGGCAGCTTCCAAACTCCAGGATCCATGGCAGCTGGCCTGGTGACGACCGCTGGAAATATGCCCCCGGCGACCGGAGGGGCCGGAGGGATTGGAGGCAGAAGCGAGAGCCAGTGGGCCACAACGATCAAAAAAGTTTGATTGACCTGGTGACCTCCTGTCATGTCCTTAGTAAAAAAGTTTGGTAAAGGCTGTATCTTGAATCATATTTCGGTGGCTCAAATCATCCGATGGTTTTTCCGCCAGGTTCCAAGAGGTTCTGCCAGGGGCATGTCTGTCCAGACCCTGTGAGTCTGGGTCCGTCGCACCGTCGGTCGAACGGTCCGTCGCCCGGGATCGGAAAGAAGAACGGCGGTTCGGGCTGAGACGAAACAAGACCAAGGTTCTGGAGCAGGCACCAAAAGCGCACTGGCTCCGAGACATGTGTTTTTTAAGTGTACAGAAGATTGGAATTATAATATATTATGGTGCGAAGAGGGGTTTGGTGCAGAATGGGGTCATTTATGCATCATTTATGTGGTCGGTGAAACATGGTCTTTGATAGTTAAACATAGTCTCGATTTCGCGACTAAGTTAAACTTGGTCTTAGAACAACGACCGAGTTAAACTTGGTGCTTGGAAGGTCAGGCTATATAAGTACATGATTTTATATAGTTGTTCTATGTTGTTCCTACTTTGTAGATCCATTATGACCCATCACAATCCACAAAACATGTCGAAATTGATGCAGCATAGATGTGTACCAGGACCTTCCAACTGGTGTTTTTTGAAGCCTAACAGGTGGTTTCTGGGCACCTGTTGTCACCAGGAAGCACCTGTTGGAGGGTCCAGGTATAGATCCATGATGATCCTTCACCCTCTCCTTGCCTCGATCGGCCCCTCACGGAGCCTCCTTGGCTCCGTTGGAATTCGCTTCAACAAGCAGACCAGGTTCCAGTGCACTTCGTGCGTGGACTTCCCAAACGGACCAAAGCCTGGCTCGATGCGCTTCTTTCGTCAATTGCTCATGATGAGCTGCTGACAGCTGCATCACGGTCCGTTTTGACTGGGCTTCAAGCATTTCACGCATGGTGCGCCCCTCCGGGTCACACCCTGCTTCCCCGCCGCTGGGCGGGTCGACCTGCGGAACCGCCCGACGCCTGGACCGAGGTGACGGGGCGTGGACCGCACCGCAGGATGAGCGGAACATGGACGGAACGGGAACGGATGGACGTGTCAGTCTGCTCGATGTGTAGCTCCAGGATTGGTCTGTTCCCACTGGCTTCTCCTTCAGCACCTTCAGCTCCACCAGCTCCAAGTGACCTCCTGGCTTTTGCCACACGCAAGGGACCTACCGCAGTCACCCTTCGCCTCGCTCTTCGGCTGCGGTTCGCTGCGTTCGGCCCACTCGTGACCTTCCGGAGCCGACACGCGCTGTCGCGGACGAAGTCAGAGGCCCGGCCCACTCGTCCTTCCTGGTCTGCAGGTCCTTCCTGGTCAGCTCCCAAAGTCAGTCGGTCACATCTCTCCGTTGAGAGAGAAACTTCGCGCGGCGAGGCGCAGCGGTGAAACGCTGGGCGCCGGCACCCAGCGGCCGTGGGCCGGGACTTTCCCAGGAAGGACTGTCCTCCTGCGTTCCGGAAACACCGCGGTGCTTGGTGAAAAAGTGAGGCAGCAAGCACCCCACACATCTTGAAAGGTGCCTTCACTTACTTGAGCCAATCGAAATGTGGAATCCATGCGAGTTTAGAAGGCCTTAAGAGAGCCCGTCCTTGTCTGGGTGAGGTGAAGTTGACGTGGTCACTGTGGTTGTGGTGGTGAGTTTCAAAAGTTTCCGTGTAAATGGGCAGCCGAAATCGGTGGGGCAGCCCAAAATTATGTTCTGGGTTTGTAAACCCTGGAAGTCCATTCGACCATCTTTAAAATGGTAACGATCTGCTTTTGTAGTGTAAAATCCTTAGTAAAACCATGGTTGTTCGGCAAAGACCATCAAAATGGTGGGCCACAACTTCTAGGGTAAATGCCACCACTTTCTAGGGTGAATGTGCGTAATCAACATTTTGTGCTAATGTGTTGGAAATGCTCTCAAGTATGAGCCATCTCTGTGTAAACAAAAGCCCTCCGTTGAACTTTACAGGCTATGTGCATATACCCCACTAGTTGGACTAGTTGGTGGGGATTCTGTGACATTCAAACATTGCTCAACATGTTCTTGGGATTCCGCGATGTCCATTCCCTAGAATTCAACCAAAGGCAGGGTGTCCAACGGCTGCATACCATTCATGGGGGATCGGATTTTGGACACCTATGCCCGATGTGTTCGTCAAAATTCTTTGGGCCGAACACCCCTCTCTGCATGCGCCTGTGCTCAGCTCAAAGTCCTCCGTCTCCGCGTCGGGCGTGTCCCCAGTCGCTGCATCCACACAGACCAACAGCACGAAAACACGTGCTAGGACCACGCCACTGAGGAAGACGTGAATATAGCCTGCCACTGAGGAACTGCCGCAAACGTCGATTCCAACTGCTTCGTGTTTTCAGGTCACTTTGCCTGGGGAAAGTCCAATCTCCGCGCAATTCTTTGGATCAACTCCTTTCAAAAAGACCCGGCCTCAATTCCATGGTTTCCTGGACCTTTTCCAAAAACTGGATCACAACACCGGGAAAGCTGTGTCACATCAAATGTTTCTTTCCGCGGATTATTTTTTTGCAACACAACCTCTGGAGAATAAAGGTTGGCGGGCACAAACCCAAGCGTCTCGCAAAATCTCCCCGGAAATGCACCTGCCAAAATGAATGTGTGTGTGTGTTTGTCGCAATTTCAAAACGCGTTGTTTTAACCTGTGCAACATGTTAATGACCACAAATCCCACCTCATCCAACACCCTGTCGCGAAACGACCCAAATTATGTCCCCACGCACCTAACGGGCCAAACTTCAAGATTGCCAGCATGAAGTCTGAATCATGGACTCCACCTAGGGACCAAGCCAGAAGGATCCTCGGAAGCCGGCGCTTGCGCCGCTGAGAGCTGCGACAAAAACACCCCAGCGAATCGTTTCAGGAATCGCTGGTGACTTCCCAGGGCCAAGAAAGGTTTCTGCGCCATCCAGCGCCGTCATCGGACTTTCAACCAGCGAAGGATGCGAAAGCGCTTTCAACCATAGACCCCCAAAACCCCAGGCAAATATCCACACGGTCTATAACTTGGATGGGTCGGGGGCATGGCTGGGCTCACCTGGCGAATCGCCAGGGAAAAACAACAGAACAAGCAGACGTAGAATGTGGGCCATCGCTCCGGCTCACCGTTCACGCCATTCGCACAGTCAACCACGCCAAGATCTTGAGTGGCGGAGTTTTGCCACCTCTGGGATGCTGACGATGCAAACATGCAGACCGGGCGCTGTTTGGCATCAAGCATTCAGGGCTTTAGAGCTGTAGAATCGCTGACGCTTATTCGTTTTATCTCGGCATTTTTGTTCGCAAAAGGGCTGCGCGATACAGCTAGTCGCCTCTTTGTGAAGGCGGCCAACAAGAACAGAACACCATTTAAGCCTTGTGACCCAGCCAAACAGTTTTGACTCATCTGAGCCTCTGTTCTCGCCGAGACTGAGGTGCCTGAGAAATGACTTTCTAAATGGAAGCACGGTAAAAACAATAGATTTGAAAAAACATCGGTCCAAAAGGAACAGCTTTGCGAGGGAAACAAACATGAAAAAACACGACAAGCTCAACATCATTCCAACGCCAGCCTCCGATGCGTGCGTGCTTCATCGCGTGACCATGGGCAAAGCAGCCAAGCCGGCAGATGAGGTACAGCAGAGTCAGACGCTTCACACCCAAAAAGGTGCCTTTTGGTGATTGGTCTCGTCTGCTCTTGGAGCCGGCTGCTATTCGTTCTTTGGAGCCGGCGAAACTCATTCCACTTTGCTGCGGAAAGGCTTTGCGGATGAACCGGCCAAAGCGACCCACCGGGACCTTCCCCGGCGTGCGATCACACGAAGTCCACCACGTCCGCCAGGAGTCGCCATGAAGGACAACCCAGTCCTGCACCAATCAGCCACAAGTCGCCACTGAGGCTGAGTGGCGACTCGAGGCTGGCGTGGAAAAAGATCCGGATTTCCACCAACAATCTGAACTTCGAGATCCAGTGGACTTCTTTCATGTCAGCACCGGTCCAAGCTTAAGCCCAGATCTCGAACAGGTGTCTCTATTTTCTGCCCTTTCACGAAGACCTCACCAGCCTCAACAGCCGGGCGCCCAGCGCGGACCTGAGAACACCAAGGAAGGCCACTCGGACGAGACGCTCGTCGCGTGGCCGCTCCTCGTCCGAAACCTCCAGAGCTTCAGCGACCAAACCCGTCACCTGGGAGCCCCCGAGACGCTGGACGGTCAGTGCGGCGTCAGCGTCAGCGTCTCGCCGAGGTGACGTCGTGTTACGGTGATGCCCCGTGAGGTCCAGCACTGAAGGCAAAGCATGCGGTCAACGACGTACTCACACGGTACTCGAAAGCAAACATATCCCATCCAAGCTCCACAAAGGATCTGCAACCGCAAGCTAAATGCAAGTGTGAATTTAAAAGTGTGATACTTTGCAGCTCACATTGTGGTTCATTGTGGATCCCTCACATGGCTTTGGTGCGTCCTTTTTTGCGCATCTTCGTGCACACTACATGGTCATTTTCATGACGTACTTCGTCCTTTTTCCGACAGTCACTCCGTGACTTTCCATTTCGGTGGTGTTGTATGGTTCTTGACCTCTTCAGTTCTGAATGTATAGGCTTGATTGCTGGCCCTCTGTCTGTGCACTTGTACACGTGAAGCCCAGCAGGGGCCCAGGGGTCCCGTGGGTCCCGGCGTTTTGCCTTGACACGGGTGGGCTGTCCAAATGATCGGACGGTCCTGGCATGTAATCACTGCTACGGTTGCCCAAGACTGGCGCTTTGCAGAAGGCAGAGATCTGCTGAAGAACCACCCGCGGTGAGCCTTTACTTTGTAGACACCACCCGCCAAAGCCCTGACGCTAGGTGGGAAGCTGCCCTTGTTCAGGTGAAAACGATGTCTTCTTTTGAATTGCATCCGCTTAGGCTCGTGTCGTCGGCATCTGGTGTGCGAGGGCTCTTGCGGCATGCAAGATGCGCTCAGACAAACCACTACTTGTAGGACTGGGGTACCTATGGGATAGCCTATAGGGTTCTTCAACCTCTGTTGGTTGATCTCAAAATGATCCATGAGCAGACCTCAGTTCTGAATGGTTTGTCCGTTGGACATGCACTGAGTCACTAAGTCACTAGACTGTTGGGGGTCTGTGAGCAGACCACATGCAAACTGAAAAAGCTCAACGAAGAATTTGCTCCAAGTCCACGTCTCAGTCTCACACGCGCCAGTCTGTCAGTGGGGGCGTTTCTTCCAGTGTCCAAGGCACAGGATCGTACATAGCCACAAACCAAACAGAGATACCAGTGCCACTCTCCTGAGTCGATGGCGCCTCTCGGAACTGCCGTGTTCCTACAATTTGGAGCGAGGTGAGACGGAACATGTACGGTTTGTCGCCGGCTGCACCGTGCGTTCTACCGGGCGGAAGTCATCCAGAACGAAAGCAACACAAAGATATATATGTTGACTATGTATGATCGGACAGGTCATGGAGTACACAGATTGTAGGTATCCGGAAAATGTGTAGGAAGGAGGAGGAACTCGGCAGAAAAGAACACATGATTTGTGCTTCCTCCTTCTCTTAGGTTTTTGGTCTCACTCTTCCATCGACGAGTCTCATTGGGTTCGGTGGTCTCCCTCTAGGAAAAATAGGTGTGACACACCCATATGAAGGTGGGTCAAAAGCTAGAACCTCAAGCAGAATCTTGACAACCCCCCCCGAGATCCAACTCTCATTACGAAACAACTCGCGTCAAGCAGGTTTCATACACAGGGGTGTGTGTGTGTGTGTGTGTGTGTTGAAGCCCCAAAGAAAGACCGAGGTTTTGCCTCACAGCCGGGAGGAACACGCCGTTAACAACGGCCGAACACGTGGTAAGAGGCACACGTATGGCCCACATAACAAACGAACTCAGAGGGACCAAAACAGGTGTTCAACTCCACGATGATTCCATGATTAGAGGGACGTGCTTATACCCTAGAAGTCCAGTTCGACGATGTTCGGCACCACCCAAGTAAAGGAAGTTCCTGAACTCGGATCACCTAAAGACGTTTTAAAAATGGTCTTGGGCTCCCAGGGTATACTTATACCCCAAAAAGACTCAAATTGGTTTTTGGAGGGTCCCAGCAGTACAAAACCTCCAACCGGATCTTTCGCTTGGATCATCAAAGGGCACACTGCCTCAGCGGCCATTCAACTAGGCCAGGCGCCTTGTACGATCCCCGCTGCCAGGTTCACAGCAACGCAGAGGCCGTTCTTGAAGGCAAAAATTGCCCAGAGGGTTCCGGTGTTCTTTACTACAAAACAAAAATCTGTTGCAGTCTATATGGACCACCAACAAGTTCTTGTCAATCTGGATGAATGATGAATGCAATGCATTTTCCAGACACATGACACGACCGATTGTACTTGGGGTGATGTTCCGACTCACTCATACCTTCAAATCCTTTCTTCAGATCCATTCCTATACCCTTCACCCGCATCTTATCACGCTCCAGCTTCATGCTCATCTTCCGGGCCAGCCGGGCCGCAGGCCGCAGCAGCTGCCAATAGAGCATCAGGGCACTCAAGAACCACGCGACCGCCACCCAAGACACGGCGATCGGGCGGGGAGGATGCATCTGTCGATCCTGAGAGAGTTCGGTCCAAGGAGCGATGCATCTGAGCTGCTTCAAGGCCACAAAGGCAGTGTGTGTGGGAGGGTTTGGTTGGTTTTTTGTTTTCGCGAAGGCGGTTCGGTGGCTACATCTGAGAGGGGTCTTGGATGCTGGTTGGAAAGAAATATGGTCCAATGTTCTTAAGTCTTATCCTTACTGACAAATACCACCCACAAAAGGAACTCATCATCTTCCAAAGCAGTTTCGGCAAGCCGTCCTTGTTGCTTCCACCAAAAGGATCCCTTTCTTTGGGCGCCCCTCCCCAAAAAGCCACGTAGATCTCACCGCCTGGACGAAAGAGTCAGAGAGGTCTTAGAATGACCCAGGATTGGTGGCACAGCAGTGGCTTCTCCTGTTGTGGCTGGTGACTTCTGAGTAGAAGCTTGCACTGGTGGAAAACCTAAAACCTTCGGGGCACACGGATGTCTAGGGGCATCGGTCTTGGTAGATCCCCCGTCTTCAATGATTGACCAGGTGCAAATAGACTCCCACATAGATAGGAAAAGCACCATCCCTTTCAATATGTCTTGGAAACCATTTCTATCTATTTGGGGACACCACTCTCTTCCAGCATGTCCTTAAAAAAAGAAAAAGCTACTCCAAAACCCCTCCAAACCCCACTTGCCCGTCTCTCCTCGCCCAACCCCATCCTCCAAGTTCACTCCTTCGCGGAACATGCCGTCGTGAGTCGATCAGGGGGAACCATGCCTGCAAGAGAAGCAAATTGAAAATCACCGTGTGCCACTCGAAGTCGCTGTGGGACCATTGCACCATCGAGATGAGAAGAATCGCCTTGGGCCAAGCCAGGCCAGGCGTCGGTGGGGTCGAAGGACCAACAAAAACACACGAGACCTGTGGGACTGGCAGTTACCAGACCAATCAGTTGGGATGGTTGAAAAGGGGTCAACATAGATGTGTCTTCCTTTTTACTTTTTTTCATAAAGTGTCTGGGTTTAGAGACCAACCTCACCGCCTGCAGTGTTTTCTCCATTTCTTCCCGATCCACCTACCAATTCCGTCCCCTGCCCAAAATGTTCGAGAAAACCTGGTAATTCCCAAACCACCCAACCGAACACGCATAGCACTTGGTGAGGCGCAGAGCACTTGGACGGTCCGACCGGCTGAACCCTTTGGACGACTTGTTGGTCAGACCACACGAACGACCATGCCGCAAGTGTCAACCCCTACCCACCTGGGATTGAGCGAGACGAGGCTGACGAGACGGACCCCAGTTCCAGTACCGAACGGTGCCGAGTTCGGCTGCTGTCACATCCACTCACTGGATGGGACAAAAAAGCACTCCTGGATACGCTGCAAGACTTTTTCTATAGGTCATGGCACCAGGTAGGGTGGGTAGAGGTTCCGCAGGCGCCGCAAGGTGTATCGCAGCACTGAGAGTTCCTGCTGCCCTGCTGGTCGCATCATCTCTGCATAGGCGAGGACGAAGCCACTTAGGAGGAAGAAGAATTGAGTCCACATGGCCGCCCAAACCAAGGGATGCCAGAGAAAGTTCAAATGACTCAAAGCCACCTCTGGACGGCCGAAGAAGTGCGGAAGAAGTTCGGACTGGGTAGGGTTCAGAACCGTTCGGATTAGGGGTCAGGCTTCAACCCAACTCACTCATAGAGTTGGGGGGGACAATACAGTGGTCTCCAGCGGCTGGCACTGGGAGGGGAATCTGAAAATCTCATCACCCGGCTCACCCAGCTCGGCCGACTCCGCCACCTGGTCCCCAAACCACGAACCGCCGATCTCCCAACATGCGGGAGTCGGCTTCTGAGACTCGGAAGCTACGCCAGCGACCCCAGAGAGCAAGCTCGCTAAAAAGGTATCTGGGCTAAGAACAGTGTGCCTTTTGACCCGAACAGTGGGGACTTATCCGCAGCCGATGATTTTACATGTGCCGAGGAAGACCATACGATCTCAAAGACGTGTGAACCTCGCTCACCTCAGCAAAATCTCTCGCCTTGTCCAACCAAGAAAGGCACATCACCACAGCCACCTCCTCCCTGACACACACTCCCCTCGTATTCCTTCGAATTCCTTCGGATTCCTTTGGCCTGGAGGGAGGCCAAATAGCGCAAGCCATCCAGCGATTCCAAGTGCTTCAGACTGCCCAAGGCCCTTCCCACCGGCGTCATCGCTCGATCTGCGCTTCTCCGAAGCGCAGAAGGCAAGGCACGACGACTCGGCCGTGGCCAGGTGAGGCGGTTTGAAGCTGACGACACAGCTCTCAGTGCGTTTCATGAGGGCTGAGGGTTGAGGTCTTGACCGATCCGACCTATCAAGAATGTCGCCTGCATAGCTCGCCAAGACCACTATATAAGGGGTAGTAATAAAAAGTAGCGAAGATCTGCAGGAATCGGGTCTAATTACAATTTCCCTATCGATCCACATACCCTATGAGAAGGTGATGTGTTCGACACTTTGAGCCCTTGGAGGGTCCAAACTCCTTCTATAAGGGGCTACTTGGATTTGGATCCCTGATGGGTTTGTTCCGGAGCTCACACCACCCTGATGGGCGTTGCACGGTCTCCGATATCTAATTTGCTTCGATCCAAGAGCGCGATCCACGGCCGAAACGGCGGCTTCAATGCGCAGCGAAAGCACAAGTCTCAACCATGCGCAGCTGCACCACGGAATATGGTGGTGCTACCGTGTATGCTCTGACTTCACTAAGATGGAAGTGGAACATGTGCCCCTGAAAGACGACTTGCTTGACAGTTCGGGGGAAACCCCCACTTGCATGTGTTCGCAGGAGAGTAGCCCTTGGAAAAAACCTTTGAAAAAATCTTCTTTAATTTCATCAGGGAGAATATGGAAATATAAGGAGAGCCCCCAACCACTGGACAGACTCGTCTAATTTTGTTTCTTCCAGGGAGTCGTTGCCTTGGAGGTCTCCCTGTTTATATTCTCCAGAACCGACCACCGGCGTGCCGACCACAGACCCCTCCTTTTTCGCGCTCGGCACGGGCTACGGTCTCCTGAACTTGGCCGGTTGCGTGCGGGGACGATGGTCAGATGGGTGAGCAGCATGTGGTTTTGGAGACCAAACCAAACAAGTTCAGAGGGCCTGGCCGGATGGACTTGGTACTCTTGACTTCAACCCACGTTCAAAACTCGGAACGCCCTCGCCCCAACCAATCGCCGGTCCGTCCTCACTGGGGGCCACGGCTAAGGTCACCCGGGTGCCAATGGCTGAGAAGAAACCATCTGAGCGTCGCTGCTCGACACGGTGGCGATGATGGCGATGGCCAAAGGGTGGGGAGTTTCAGAGTGTGTTGTCTGTTGTGGGGAATCGGATTCGGACATATTTAATCACCGTTACAATTGAGGGTGAGGGGTTGTGACCGTCATTGTGTGGAAAAAAATAGACGTTTTAACGGTGAAAAACATATTTAGGATTGCATCTGATGTGAAATCCACCTGCTTGGTGGCATTGGTCGTCAACGTCTCTTTGGGGGGGGCGCCCACCGCCGTCGACCTGGTGACCATGACCGGTCGGTCCGACGTTGACACCGAGCGACTTCCGGACGGAGTGAACATCCGAAAGAAGACGTGCCCTATAAGAAGGATCCGCGTGCCGACTCGAAGGTACAACTGGACCCTCAAATTCCTCTCGGGTAGCAGCGAATCCACGAATCCATGAGCGGTCGCGGAGTGTGTTTCCTACCTCCACCACCTCCAGCAAAAACCCTCGGGAATCGAATTCGCTCGCAGGCTCGCAGGGTAAACACGCCGCTCCGGAAATCTGTTCGTCTCTCAGGTGCACCTCGTGATGTGATACCGTCAACTACTTCTAGGGGCTCTGGGTGTCTGCATTGTAGACCCCAAATCGTGGGGGTTAACGGCTTATGACCTATAGGGATTGGGCTGAAACGCATTTAGGGGTCATGAGTGATAGGCGGGGTCATGAGTGTTTGTGGGGTTTTGCAATTAGTCCGTCCCTCATACCCCCCTCGTACGTGCCAGACTCCACCCACAAGATTCGGTTCGCATATGCTCGCTGATCTGGGGATCTTCCGATTGCCACTTCGAATCTGCAAGTTTCCTCCTCTCGCCGAATCTCGTGTACCTGCTCAGATGTGGCCTCTTTGCAGGCTTTGCCACCCCACCCCATGTGATTTTCTCACCGTTTAGGAACCGGAACCATGGCATGGAACGATGTTCCACGCTGTCTTGGGGCCTCCCTGTCCATCCAATAGCTTGGTTGGGACCGGCGTGCCAACAGCACCCTGGACACCGAGAATCAGTTCATTGTGCGGCCCTCCTTTACTCCTGATCTCTGGAAACCCCTCCGATAGCAGTGGCGGGCCCATGCCCCTAAAAGATTTGGACAACGGTCCTCTGAACTCAGGCCATAGCCACCATCATCCGAAATCCACTCACCGTTTTTCAATGCGGGCGTTGAGCCTTGAAACGGTGCCTCTGTGCTGGCTTTGTGTTGAAATTCAATCGATCTGTCGTGGCCAAAGGTGGCCTATGGTTCAAGCGGGATTCAATACACTGGTCTCTTTGGATTCCAGTGTGAAGTTGGCTGGCCTGGCCGACGTGTCAGCAGGTTAGGGAGGTCCCCAACAGCTGCTTGAACGAGCTCCGGGTCCTTGCGGGTTTCCAAGTACAAGACATGAAAACACGAATCACTCTCAGTCTGAACCGGTTCAGTGACAGATCGGTTCACGGTGGATCATCAAGCTAGGCAGTTTGAGGAGGTGTCAATAGATTCAATGGATCTTGAGGGATTGCGTCAAGACCGCGCTAAAACATTATACAACAAATATTGAGCAACAACTTCAGCCAAGCGTCTTCGCGCAGACTCTCGGGGAAGAAAACCAGTCGTGTCGGATCTTGCCGGATACTTTCGAGCGCCAATGCTCGATTGAGGAATTCACCACGCGGCGGCTGCAAGCTTCCGGACTCGTCAAAGAGCAAGGTCTGGGCACTCCAAAAGCAAGACTTAAGACCATTAGAAGCAACAGAAAGGAACGCTCTCAGCGGCGTTTTTGATAAATCAATCAACAACTTCATGCCAGCGTCCCCGCTGTCAGCGCTCCCCGCTGTCAGCGCTCACACCTCTTGGACTGAGATGGCCTGCTCCATCACCACGACCCAGACCACCCATGTATGGACCCCTAAAACCACCCCAAGGTAGGTATGCCATGCATGGTTGGTCTGCGACAATTCTTGGAATCCCTTGGTGTTGGTGGGACTGGAGTTGGTGGGACTGAGGAGCTACGACCCGGAAAAGGAACGCCAGTTCAAATGCCTATTGAAGCAACGGACACCACCTGAAGCCCGCGTCCGGGGCATCGAGTTTTCAGGGCTCTGCTTCACCCACCAACTCCCCAAAAGACCACGGCTCTGCTTTTGCACGCCCAGTCACTTGTAGCTCTGCTTGAAAATGCTGGCAGTTGTTGAACAGTGTGCTGTATCGCTCCCATCGGCTTGCCAATGATCCACCCATCCACGACAGCACATCTTTTACCTTGGATTTGTTGTCCAGGAGCCTTGAACAATCACACATGTGCACTAGAAGGGGATTTACCCAGTTCGGGAAAATCACCTAAAAAAACTTTGCTCCGCGAAACCAGGTTACGGTGATGTGCTTCGTCACATCCCTGCTGGGTTCTGGAACGCCGTGGAAGGCCCTGAAATGTTGAGGGATTCCAACAAGGTCCTAAGCTCTTCTGTCACGATCAGAAGTCTCGAAGGCTTTAAGCCACTCTGGCGCCAATTACATCACCCAGAAAGAGTCCTGGTACAAAAGTTTAGAGGCTAGGTAGGGCATTCTTTGGTTTCATGCGTACTCACCGAAACCATCCAAAACCTTCCTCCCGTCGGAAACCGACGGGATCGATGGTCGCTCACCCGGATGGGGCCCGGCCCGGGGCCAGTCGCATGTGACATGGGCTCACAGGACCCGAACCCCCCAAAAAACCGGTACCTGGACTTCTGACCCGGACGAACCCGCACTTCGGGTTTCACGGGCACGTGGGGGAGGACCTGTCGGTTCTTTGTTGGGGTCATGTCCCATGCGTTCGAAGGATTTGACCCGGTACGAACCTGAGACTCCAGGAATTTGTGGGGACCTTTTTTACATGACCTCGTTTTACTGAACGCGGTAATGAACAAACACTACTTAAGGATGTAGAAGACCAGGTTTTACTGGGTCTTTGGATGTGCCAGCACCCACCAACAAGTCTCCGAAATGGTGGGTGAAATGCAGACTTCAAAGTGCTGACCTGTGAAGTCGGGCGCTGACCTGTGGATGGTCTTTCATTGCCCTAACAATCCTGGGACCCGTTTGGCAGGGGTCCGGATCCGAACCCGTCCCCGATCGCCCGGATTTCTGAATCCGCATGCAGTGAATCAGAACCTCCGAGAAACGGAAGGGGACCCGTCGGGGACCCGTTCTCTCTCTCCGACTTCACCAAGAAACAAAGCCCTCTCCCACCAACATCTCGATCTTCCGAAATTGATGGACAACACAGCATACCTGGTGCTCAAAAGAAATCGCTGCTGCTGGGTTTGGCTGTGTCTATACTGACTCAACATACTTGATCAATATATATATATATAGATAGATATGCAGTATATACATATTACACTACACTATGTCTTGCTAGCCAGAAATTCGACGTTGCGAGTGTGTGTGTGTTTCATTTCGAATGTTGGTCTTGACCTTTGGGTCATCTCTCCACTACAGTACCCACCAAACCTGTCTGGGAGAGAATTTGCAAACGAGAAAAAGAGGTGTGGCTGGAAAGTGTGCACTTGTGTGGCTGCGCACAAAACAATGGAAAAGTGCAACTACCTGGAGTCTGGTACTTGTTTCTTATTCCGGTCATGTCCCATGTACTTCGAGTGGGTGGTCGTACTTCAACAACTCCAGGTAGGACTCAACAACTCCCAGGAGACGTGTGATAAAAGGGGTTGCCCTCGGGCATGAAGCAACAAAAAGGCCAGAGGGGCTCCCGAAACTCCTCGTACGACGTGACCTTGCCCGCCAACATGCTGTCCTTTATGAACTCATGCGGAGGTCCTGTAAGGTCTTCCTTGGAGATCCGCACGCACACCTGGCTGCCACATCACTTTCTCAGGCATTCACCCTCTGTTTTTTGACACTGGATTGCCAAAAGAATGCCGATTGGACAAAAAATAGAAAGCCTTCCTGCACACTCTATCTTTCACAGGAAGGCCAAGGAGCTTCTTCACCACCACATAGGTGTCGACGTCGATACTTGACCGACGATGAGTTCTTCTTCTTCTCTTTGCATCTTCTCATGCTCGCAAAGGTCACCTTCTCGTTTCATGAAACGAATTCGACGAGTCAAGAGGAGTCACACTGGGTGTGGTGTCATGGGGGGACGAGTCACGGGGTGTGTCGTATTTCAGCAGGGAGACTTTCACGTACTTCCTACCTTGGTCAAGGGGTTTGAAGGGGTAGATTGGTCGATTTTCCTTCAGAAAAGGATGCCTGGGGGGGGGTCTCCCCTTTTGAGCTACACATCCATCTTTGTCTTTGACGGAACTTGACGGTCTTAGCTGTTGTGCTCAATGAGAAGAACTCCATCATCCCAGGTTCATTGTAAAGTAAAGAGCTGAATGTCCAAATAGCACCCCCAACCCCACCAACAAAGGTTTTTCAGAATCCTAGTTCGACTTTCCCAGGTGACGGGTCCTGCATATCAGGTCAAAAAAAAAACTCTCTGGGCACCGCAAAAAAAGGCAAACATTTAGGAATACGGAGTTCACAGCTAGTTCAAACGAATACCACTGGAATCGAGTCTCAGTCCGTACCTCGCAAAATGGTGCAGTGGTACCTCCTGTTAGGTACGTAGGTTTAGTGTCCAGGTACATGTGTTTGGTCAATCATCGCCTGTTCGGACCACCATTTTTGTAGCCTGCTCTCGGATACAAGGAGCTCGTCATTCTCCACCTCCACACTGGGCTGCAGGCAACAGCTGAACATCTTGCCCACCGATTTCTGCGAACCTTCAGGAAACAAACAAGAATACACAAACATCGTTTACAACATGTCCGTGCTTGTCTGTATGTTCCATGCGTTGGCCCTTGATTTGCCTTGAGCCAGCGGCAAAAGAAGCAGAAGCTGGGTCAACCTATCATTATCAAATCTTTGAGGAATCTCAATAGTCTCCACGTTCATGACTAAACCCAGACCATCCATGGAATAGATAGGGGAAGGCCAATCCGGATTGCGCCCTGACCATGATTTGGCTGAAACATACTGAAGCACCAAAGCACCGGTTCGTGCGGGTCCCTTCCTTCGGGTCCCTTGGGCTGCCCGGCTCAGAGCGCCTTTCAGGTCGTCCACCACGCCTCACGGCTGGAGGTGGAGCGGAACCCTTTGGGGAGAGGGAAGGTTCCGTTGAATCGGCTATCTTACGTGAAACGACCAAGCTGACTGACCTCTCACCGGTGAATCGGTGCCGCCTGAGAGCGTCAACAACTGGTGAGTCTTTCCTGGTCATGACTGTTGGAGGTTTCGAGATCGGCATGTGAAGTAAGAAGAATGGGAATCTGATGAGTCTGAGTCTGGTGTAGAAACAGCTGGTTCTTGATCTTTAGAATCTTGATGAGCTCGAACCCCTCGAGGCAATGCGGCTTAGACAGAGACTGGACCCTGACCCTCTGGCCTTGTCTGGAGTTTCGTTTCTGAATCCGACTTTGTTCTTGTCTGGAGGGTCCGACCCTCTATCTCCGTCCGAGGGTCAACGGTCTTTACACTCCTTTCTCATCCAGACCGAGGAGGTTTCAAACCCTGGATGACCTGTGTGGTCCAAGTCATCCAAGTCACCCCGTCTCCGATTCCAGGGTCACCTTCGATTCCAGGGTCACGTGTCAAAGGATTTCCAGACGGGGCCCGTACGACCTGGTTCTTCCAAGAACCCATCACTGCAGGAGAACCATCCAGGCTTCCGAGCCAGGCTCTGCCGCCTTCTGCCGGAGCTGCTTTCCTGTGCAAAGACACGGAAAGGGCTTCGGAAGCAAAAGTCAATGGAGGCAGAAACCGCAAGGACATCAAAGAGCACCCTAGCCTTCCAAGACCTTTAAAAACTCGTATTAACAACAAAAGGTGGTTGGAACTTGGAATCTCAGGGAACCCAAAACAAGATGTGTGCCTTCCAGGTAGTTCCAGGAATCTCAGTGAGGGAGGATGTTCATGCCCCTTCTGCAGGGGTGCCCTTTCTGGGTATGGATGCTGGGGGGTTGATGGACCTATGCTCACCCAGAAGTCAAACTCTTCCGGCTCCTTTCCACGTAGTGACGCATGACAGAAATCACCCAAGATAAGAAAAGGTTGTTCTTCATCCCTACATATCCCTACTAAGAATGTTGATTCATTCTAGATCCGCTGCTGCTTGATGGTTTCAGCCCGCCTGTAAAGATACGAAGTTCAAACATTGAATCATCCCAGATGAAGCTCGAGTGACATACTGGTGCTTGTAAGAGTATCCAAGACACTCTTTAGTTGTTCTGACTCGGTGACCCGGGTGACCCGAGTCTAGGGCTGTACCTTTATTATTTCGCTGGTGCTTTCCTAGTGTTTAGACTTGTGGGGTATTCACCATCACCACGCTGTGCTCATCTGGCCATGCGAGAAATCGCGGATGGGCGCCTTCCATGGCTGCCTTTGCCTCTGCCACTGCTGTGGAAGCACCTAGAGCGCCACGGCCTGGTCGAAAGCAGCTCTCCGAAGGTGATGGCACCTCCGGCCGTCCTCCAAACAAGCATGTAAAGCAACAGGGGGTGATGGCAAACTCCCAACAAGCGTCTTTGGGGGAATAGTGTTTCCAAGAGTCTTGAAGGGATGGGTCTTTGGTTTGGGGCTGGATATGTCCGTTACCCCGCAATTGAATGGAAAGTAAGGGTGAAGGGAGGCTGCGAGGCGAGGAAATGGGGGATGAATCAACGTCATCCTGGCCAAGCGCCTCCTTGCTTTCATGTAAAGTCCCTTTTACGTCGGACGCCTTCGATACTTTTGATAAAGGTGCACGACCAGGCTGGAGTTCCGGGAATGACCTCTTGGGCACGCGCGCACTGGTTTTCGAAAACCGCCGGTGTGGTCTGTTTCAGGCAACTCGTTTTCAGTTGCGCCAACTGTTCCATGTTAGGATGAGCTCCGAGACGGAACCACCAAGTTCCCGACTATTCCATTGCTTAGGATCTTGGGAGTGCATTCTTGGGATGTCACCCAAACTGCGAAGGACCAGATGTGACCGAACCGCACCGCAACGGTCCATCCGTGTTGCGTTCCGCGTGTTCCGAGCCCGAAACGCACCGAACTGCAACGGACAGGGGGCGGCCCAGGAGCCCGGGATTCTACCTAGGCACGGGCAGGGGCCCGAGGGGGTCTCTTTAGATGGTCCTTTGGGGTCGGACGGGTCGGGGCGGACGTGTCGGGCCTTCGGTCGCGGGGCTGTCCAAAGGTCGCAGTGGAAGAGGAAGAGGAGGAGGCAATTCCATGTCCAAATGGGCGAAGGCGGCTTAGATCGACATGTGTTTGTCAACATCAGTGTTCAATGTACGAACGAACAGCAGTGACCACTGCGAAGTTAATTTGGTGGAGACGCCAAGAGCGCGCGCGTCTTTTTGGAAAAAACTGTCCAACAATGCATACCGACACGAATGACCTCTATGTTGGACCGCCCACCACCCAAAACATCGCCGTCATGTCTACGACTCCGTACGACGACCGACTCTGCAGACCAAAGGGCGCGTCTGCTCTTCAATCTCCTCCACCAAATGCTCCACGATACTTTCGCCTAGGCTGGGACTGTGCGGAAGCGGAGTCGGCGTGATGTGGAAATGGGGGGGCTCAAGTGGTGTGTCGCCTTCGGGATCAAAACCCATCAACTCAAACTCTAACACCAGAAAACCATGTCCCAAATTCCTACTCTTGTGAACCTGCGGTCGTTCTTTTCACTTCACTTCTTCTTCCCCCTTGTCATCACTGCTTGTCACCCTCCACTTCCCCCGTCGTCGTGTCGAACCCGACGTTCCCCCTGGTTCACCCCGGCCCGTCCTTGTTCAACCCAACTCCGAGAAGCCCCAGAACTCTCCATCGAACGTCACGTCTACGAAAAAGGAACGATTGGAGCCTCCAAAACAAGTCCTCCTATTGGATCCTCCAATGAACCTCCGAAAACAAAAATTGACGATTGGATCCTCCAATGAACCACGAGACTCCATCGAACATCCCCCGGCCTTCGTCTGTACGGTTCGTCCTTCACGGCCCGTTTTCGATGGCATGGCCAGGCACCGGGAGGGACGTTGGGTCCCCGGGCACTTGGCCAACTCGGTGCGTAAGGAGCCCAACTCCCGTTCCAGGCGCTTGCGGTGCGCGCCTGGGTCGGTTGCGCCGACCTCCGTAGGTGTCGATGTATTGAGAAGTCATTCAAAAGCTTGGATTTGCTTGAGGAATCGGAAAAAATGTATATCCAAGAAGGGGATTCATCCAAAGGGAAAATGAAAATATCCTGCAAAACCAGGCGAGGGATGTGATGTCAAGGATTAAAACAGCCTTGCAGGAGTTCTGAACCATCCCCTCGGGTTATTCTTCTATGTATTTTGACATCTGTTTATCCATGGAAAATTCAGCTTAACCAAGGGAAAAGTCACGAAGAAAAACACAGTGTGTGTGTGTGTGTCGTGTGTTGGAACTTCAGAGACCATCTGGTTGGTTTGCCAAAGGAATTCAACCTGGCAACTGTTTCATCCGAGTGGCGACTTCGCGACTTCTTCGGTGGTTTCCGTTCCAAAACCCAGCTGAAGATCTTCAAGCGGTGCTTCGGATCGACGCGACCAGGGTCGCCGGTCTGGGGTCGAGTTCCTCGAACCGCCGAGATCAAGGTGTGGAAGGACCGGTCGGGCGTCGTGAACAGCAGCGGTCGGGCGGTCGTAGCTGTGTGAAAGTCTTTGCACCAGTTGTTGCTGTGCAAACAGTAAAACCGTGCAACTCTGACGCAGAAGAAACCGTGCAACATCAGTAGCAACATGCAATTTAGATCATGTCGACTCACGTTGTATCTGCTACCAACTTGCTGTCACTACCCAGCAATCGTTTAGCTTCTTCCGTCCTCATCCTCTGCACCCTCCCCGCTCGTACCCGCTTTTGCTCCCCGCAGCTCCATCACGTCTGAGCAGATGTGAGCAGGTCTAGCAGGTCGTCTGGAAGTCGCACGTCGATCTTCACGATCTTCCCCTCCACATCGACTAACATCTTCCGGACTGGCCCAGTGGCCGAATAGGCCTTCGGCGGCACGGCGTGGCCATGGACCACCGTGCCGAAAGGTCTGGAGGCAGCAATGTCTTGACATTTCCTGGGTGAGTGGCTGAGCATTCCCCAAAGATTGAACAAAAAGGATCAGCATTCCAACTGGATAATGTGTTTGTTTTACGAGAAAATAAAAAAAAATAAAATATTTAAAAAAAAAAAAAAACATAAAATGGGGTATACGTATCCCAAATAGAGGTAGGAAACATATTCCAAAACACCAGCCAGTTTCTGCATAGACTCCACGTTCACCATGATGCACTGAAGGTCTTCATCTCGATAGCTGACCAGCTGGTCTATCTCTTCAAGCTCTTGGAAGACTTTCAGCAAATGCCCTTCATCTTTTCCAAGTGGTTGGAGGGTATGGTAGAACACCAGTAAGGTTGGTACATGTCTTTGACACAGAAACTCATGAAAGCTTCTCTGAGTGCCATCAACGAGGTGAATGCAGAAGTTTGGGCTTGCGTCCCCTGCAAGCAATTTGGGCCGTTCCCGAAACATGCAAAAGACCCATAGGAGCACCAGCGGCAGCGCCAAAACGACGATCAAGCCGATCCAGCTCAGTGGATCAACTTGAGGCTCAAGAGGCTTGTGCCGGAACCTGTCACGGCACTGACGATAGTTTTGAACCAGCTGCTTTGCCAGGGAACGCATCTCTTCCGCACCAGAGACCTTGGCATGAACGGCAACGCCGCCTGACGGGTCAGGGGGTCTCACCCATCCAACGGTCGGCGTCGGTTCGGGACCGGGAAAGGGCGGAAGAAACGTACTGATAGTAGTTCTGTCGTCAGACTCACATATACCAGCTAACAAGTCCTTTTCAAGTCCAATGCTCAAAACACATGAGACATGTAAAAAAGACAAAATCAACGAACCAAGCTCCCCCCCACTTCGGGAGAGAACTTGTTTAGGAAAAAGATAGAAGAGAATTCGCTGCCCTGGAAGATGGGAAAACCATGTGAATCCTCACCGAGGACCGGACCGGGTCGCCCGATTGGGCCGCGAGCTCGAGCAACTTCAAGCCTTCGGCCTCCTGATCTTCCTGGATGCCGGGACCTTGCTGCGGAACTCACGGCAGGAAGGAAAAGACCAACACAAGGGACTGGGATGGCAAAGTTAGAGAAACGAACAGTTTTTCTACTGCCTGCAACTGAAGATCGAAAGAGTGGTCAAGTTTGTTTGATACAAATATCCTCATCAAACAAGTCTTAACAGTTTGTTCATAAAGGTTCTGACTCAATCTACGGGTCCCAAAATGTTCCAAATGTACATACCAGGAGTCACAAAGGGGTGGTTTTTGTCCCTAAGTGAGTGGATCATGGGCACCCCGACTTCCTCCAAGTTCAGCACCCCTTGGGAACTTCTGGCATTGTCTCTTGACATGTCCAAAGGGCCAATCAAATAGCTAAAGCCCTGGTTCACCAAGGCCTCTGGAAGGCCCAGCTCCGCTGCTCGCGTCAGCTGCTGGACGCCTTCATCGAGGCCATACCTGGACATTGGACTCTGGAACAAACGATAAAAATCACTTGGAAGTGGAGAAACCCATCAAGGGGGACAAGTGGTCCCTTGATTCATGAGCTCAGCCTCCTGCGAGCGTCAACCTGTTTTGTAGGAATTCCATGGCCGCCTGGAAATCCGCTGCACCAAGCCATGAAGAATCCATCTTCAGAAAAGTGATGCCAGATAGCAAAAGATTTCTGGGCAGAAGCAGCCACCTGCTGAGACAGTAGCACCCAGTGAACGAAGCGCACACGGCCATGGACATCTCGCAGCAAAACCCTGGAGCGGCACCCTGCAGCGGCACCCGCACTCAGGCTCCAAAGCCTATGCTTGAAGTAAAAAGCCAACCACTCTCGCTATCGAAAAAAACAAACAATGCCTCCAACGAGCGACTTGAGATTTCTGAGGAAGCCGCATCAAACCGTTGAAGCAAAAAAGCGCTGAGATTACTCGCTTTCTAGTTCTTTCACCAACCACAGTCGCAAATGGAGACGATGAGGAAGAGGCTTCACGAAATGAAAGAGTGGATGATGATGGTTAGAAAAGGCCGACAGTTCAAAATATTATTACCGACTGTTGCTGGTAAGGATGGGGACAGATCCTATAAATGATCTTTCGATGATTTGTAAGGTACCAATTCCACCAGCCAACGAAATACTGAGAATCAGAGAGTATGTCTTTCTTTTTTCGTCTTGCAACACAGAGACTCTCAGAGACTCAGTCTGATCAACACAGGGCTCCACTCGGATGGACTGAAAACTGGCAAGATACAAATAGTAGAAAGCCTTGCCCACATACCGCGCGCTGGGCGCTCGCTCGCTTCTCCCGCCGACCCGTCCGGACATCGGTAGAAGCAACTGGAACATCGGACGGAGGACGCCCGGATCTTGACAGAGGCGGACAGCATAGAGGCCACACCAATAGACCAGGTCAGGTTCCGAAGATGTTGTGAGTGCTCCACAGCTTGCGTTAAAAACTCTCAAGTCTCCCAAGAACTGTCTCTTGCGACCCAACTGAAGAGTATCCTGAATCATTTGAATCCGGGCGGCACATGGGCCTGTCAGGGTGCGGGTTCTCGGAAACTCCAACAGAGTTTTGCCCTCCTTGAACGAGCAGGTGATGTTGCAGGAAGAGTCGAAGTCGTTCTCGGGACGGCTGATGCACTCCTGGGGCGCGAAGCCACGGCGGATGAACCGGATCTCTGGCACGGGCAAACTTAGAAGCAGACCACAACATGTGAAGCTGCCGATCAACAGAATCCAGCGCCGTGAGCACATGGCACCACTAAAACGAAAAAAAGCGGCAGGAACACCTCAGTGGCCTCCAAACCAACTCCCAAAACGGTGGAAGAAGAAACCAAAAGAAAGACACCACGCCGAGCCAAACCCCGAGGTCGTCCGCCGAGCCGAAAAAGAAGAAATGGCCTCCCCGATGCCTTGAGCCGAGGTCGTCGCGACGGTGCGTTCGTGCACTGGGCGAGGCCGCCATCGGTGACTGGGTCTGGTCGGTCGCACCCATCCCAGCAACACAGGAAGATTGCGGTTGAAAGAGTGGTCAATGGAAGCCAAATAGAATAGGGAGACCCTCTGATTTCTTTTCCAATCTTTAGGGGTCTTTAGGGGGTTGCCCTCTTTCAATCATATTCATTATATTACACATGTCACACTGGCCGCCGCCACAACCTCTGCCCCTTTTTTCATCTTTGGTTGCTGGAAAGGAGGTCTTCCTTCAAGCCAACCCTGCGAGATTGCAACACCTTAGCATTCAACTTCCAAGCCGCTGTGCGAATTTGGGAGACAACCGCCAAATTCCAAAGTCTCACTCCCCCCCAACCACCCGGATGCTTGATGTGTCCTATGCTTTCTCTCCCTTTAAAGGGAATAAACATATATATATACATATATATATACAGTGTATATGTTGTATATATATATACATATAATATATGTTGTATATAAAACTCCTCTCTCTCTCTCTCTCTCTCCCCAGGTCCTTCACCGCACCACGGGAATCGCTCGCTCGCTCCTCCGCCCTCTCTCCTTGGGCCCGGACGCTCCACGCGCAGCTCGCGCCGCAGCTGGCGCCGGTCCTCTGGAGTGAAGGTCTGCGCCACCGCAGACCTCGCGCGGTGAGGCCGTCGACGGGAGCGGCTGACAAGGGCGGACCAACGGTGACCGGCCGAGACAGGTGGGTTTAGGCCGGGTTTTCGGTTTCTGGGGCGGAAGCCAAGGGGTCTCTGGGGCGAAGTGATTGGGTGATTGGGTGATTGGGTGATTGGATCTGAGTGCTGAAAGCTGACGCAGCAGCTGAATTCCTAGGGAGATGTAGGGAATGACCTCTCCACTGATTGGATACCTTAGGATCCAGCCACCCTCATTCCTTACTAAGCACCAGTCAGAAAATTACTGTAGATGATGTCACAAGTCGAGGAGGATGCCACACCAGCAGCCGGTGGGTCCAAAGATGCACCTCCTTGGCACATAGCCTTCAGCTCTTTTGGAGACCAATCCGATGAAGAAACCATCAGCCGGACTAAAAACCTCTTCCCTGGCGCTCCAAACAAGCCTCGACTCTAGGGCCTCCTGATGTAAGAACCCCGCTCGGACCCCCCTCTCCATCACGGTCCCACCCCCCATGTGTCGGAGTGTTTGGGACAAAAGCGTAGGCTCTGTTAGGCTCTGCTGGGTTGACGCCCTATGGCGGGCAGCTGGGGTAGCACAACCAAAAGCAACACCGACGGCTGTTCTGACTTGACTGGTTGAATGGTTCACATTTCTTCTGCCTTGGGAGCAAAAGTCTCCAGCCCTCTCAATCCCCTCCCCGTTTACCAAAAACACAGAGTAAAGTGAAAACCCGAAATGAACCATTTCACCTGCAATCCATCGGCCCCGCCCAGGGAAGAAAACCCAAATGAATTTCTTCAAATCCATTGACTTTTGTTGTGTCAAGATGTTCCGCTACAGTGTTTGGGTCACTGGTGGATGGACCAAAGACCATGAAGATGAACTTCTGATGGAAGGTGGACACCGTGATGTTCTCGCGATGCTGGACTTGTTGTCCTGGTTCTTTTGTGCAGGGTTCATTCTTTGTGGATGTTTGCTGCACGGTGATATCCACAAAGTTCTCTATCGATGTTCGTGGTTGTTGAGGATCTACTTGGGTTCCCTAGTTGAAGTCATCCAGTCAGATGTCTGTCTCTCGCAGCGTCATACCTGCCAGCCCATCAGCCCCTGCCTAGCTTTACTCCAAAGCTCGCTCTTGGCTCCTGAATCATGGCAAAGGGAACCCAGCGAGGTGCACGAGCGGAAGCTAGGAGAGCATGGGTCGGCTTCTGGGGACGGAAGCGAACGAGACACAGGAGCCTGCAACGAAAATCAAAGAAGTGCCGGCAGAATCTCTGGTGAACTTGGGGGAGGAAACGTCTATGATCAATCCAAAGGATCAGGAACGTCTAACACGTCTACAAAGTGAGTGCGCATACGTTAATGCAAGTGCATGAAAAAGGAACAATCCCCACCCAATGCACACAAGGAAACTGAATCTTTAGCTAGCTGAATGGTGAAGTCTTGAGCTAAGGGCACTGAGTTAGTGAAGTTGCGAGTTGCCTTGGCATCGAACCAGCTAGTGTTTTGGTGGAAAACATTCTGCTTGTGAAGTGAGAATTGTCTTCCAAGAAGCCAGGCCATCCTGCAACCCATATTATGTGGCTCCAATTCGTGTCGCCAAAAGAGGGGCGTAGTTCCGTGTGGTTCCACGTGCTGCACGTGAGGGAAAGCACCTTGCCGGTGATGGAGTTTGGCTGCTCCGTGGAGAGTCGCTCTTCATGGAGCGTCACGTCTCTGCGTTGAGAAGCACTGACTGGAACCAATGCCTGAAAAGGGATCACGTGATGATATTTCAGTGTGTATTGGAATAGGGAGACCTCCAAAAAGACCCTGGGAAGCGCAAAAGCAGTTTCTTTTTTACCCCATATAAACCCATTGATTGGGAGGTCTCCCTCAACGAATAGAAACCCATTGATTGATCCAGAAGTGTTGCATCGACCGGGCAAAACCCCACCCGAATGTCACTCGTTGCTTTGGCAAGGCAACGAGTAGGTCGATCGCATCTTCCGAAGAGCGGACCTTGATCCACCAAAGCTGTTGGTAAGACAAGTGCTTGCGCTGCTCACCCAACACCAGCGAACATGAATGACACGCACCGTTCGACGACTGTGTAAACGATGCTCATCTTCACCTTGTGAAGCTGCTAAGCTGCCAGCTGGAACCAACTGACTAAATTAAATCGAATTCAGTATGCAAAATGGCCCCAATGTCTAAATATATACAAATATATACTTTTAAAAAATAAAAACAAAAAAAACACTAAAAATAAAACACCCCAGTGTCCGGATTTGCCCGTTTACCAGTTTGGTGTCATAACATCTCCTGTTTGACTCAGCTTGAAAACCGCTCCGTCCTGGCACGGTCGAAGTCTCCACCGAGATGTCCTCGGTCCGCGGTGTGCTCAGCAGAAACGAGGTCAAGCTTATTCAAATCTGAGCAGAATCTGGAGCCCAAGCATGGAGAAGAGTCAAAGTTTCTTTTTGTTCGTGCCTTCGACAAAGGCGACTGGGGCGGGGCGAAAGACTACGCTTCAAAAAGGAACACATGGCGTTGCCTGGATTCGCTGCTTCACCCCGAAGTTCCCGGGTGGAGGGGAAGCACAGAAGGACGACAAGACCAAGACGACCAAGACGACCAAACCGCGAGCCCACGGCCAAGCTCCGCACCTGGTAGCCTTGCGCCTTGATGGACTTCCTCGTGGGCGTGCTGGCCGGCATGGCTTGGAGGAACTCCGAGCCTGTCCAGCGCCGGGAACCGACGATTCGCTGAAGATGGGGTGGGGTTCTTTGACGCCCCATTCCGCCATATGAAAAGTGAGGCGATGCAGGTCTTTTAAAAGAAAAACACAGAAGCACTATGGGGGAGTGGTTGAAAGCACTATGGTCCCGCATC